GTGGAGGAAAAACGGAGAACGGAGACCTACCGATCGCGTTGAAAGGTGCCAGAGAGACATCAACTGTACAGTGGAGAATAAGACCCCCTCGAGAAATACGCAAGGAAATTTCTTAGACGTACCAGCAATATCAAGTTCGGTCATACAGACAATGTATGTAGCGGGACTGTAATCGTTCAAATTGTAGGAAAACGTTGTTCACACCACTCAAGACGACCGGAAACAGTATGCCGCAATGTCGGATATAACATGTCGTACAATAGTAGCTCATACAAAGCACCCGAAGGCTCGAGTGTTTCTAAAGTTGAAGGTTGCGGGGAGAATCTTCAATCCTACAAGGCAAACAACAACATATTACGCCCTCAAACACCTCCTCGAAGTCACCGCCTGTTAGGAATGACTGAACCATAGAACCTTCGCTTTCTGTTTCTCTTTGTTCTAACAGGTCTAGACCATTCTGCCACAAAAACTCTTCACGTTCTGGTCTCGCAAAAGATTGCATCAGTTGCTCACGGATTTCACAATGTCGAACAAGCGCCCGATGGCTGTGCTCAACCAGACCCCGTCATCGCTGGCCATGACGAGCTGCACGGCGGCATCGAAGACCCCGAACTTAGATAGCTGTCGTTATTGGCCAATGACATTTGGCGAGGGGTGGAATGAATCGAAAAGATGGGAATGCTCATGCTGTCAGAGGTAGGCTACGGAATAAGGCAAACCACATGTAGGTCATAGAGGGGAAGACGACATAGGGCGCAAGCATGTCCTGCATAGTTCTTCACGGTCGCCTCCGCCAGGAGGCGAAGAACCTCGTGTCTCTTCCCAGCACGTGCTCGCACGCTCGTACCTTTTGTAGACCCGCTTCGTTGACTCCCTTGGCCAGCCTCTTCACCAGGGGCGGACCGCAACCGTTGCCGGGGAAGGGTTTCTTCGATGTGGCCAGAAGATGGTTGGTGACCTTGTCGGCCTTTCGAATTCCAGTCCAGCTGTTTAGTTTTTGAAATTTTCCCCGGTGATGGGACTAGGGTAAGGATTTCGTTAGTTCTATTTTGGTGGTAGGCAGCGCCCACGTGTTGTTTTCGGCAATTAATTGTTTCATCACACGGTCGTGTGACTTGTGGTTGTCGGGAGGGTAGGCCAGGCCAGGGAAACCACGCGATAGGTAGCGTGCCATTTTATTTTTCGTTGTTGCTGTTGTTGCTCCCTGGTCGTGTCTTGCTGTATCATTTTGTACCTGGATCAAAGCGGTAAGCTCACTTTTCTCTTGACTGTGCACTCCGCTTGGGGCGTTTCAGTGGTGTTTACCGTGTTTGCGAGCTTAACGAGCGTTCCCCTGTTTAAGGCGCTGGTATAATGTACGTGCAACATCGTGTATCTTTCCCGAGGTTTAGGATTTGCACAGGATGCTGTTCTTGAGGTTCAACATAGATCAAGGTTCGCACGGTGACCATATAACACAGATAGCATCATCGTATTCTCTGGGGGAGATGGAGGAAGTAGGTATGGAACATCAGCAAAGTATCCGGCGAGAACCGACCACCCACTGCGGGGGGGGCCCGAGCGACGACGCCTACGTACTGGAATCGTCGAATGCTACCCGGTGGTTTCGACTTGCATCGTTACGGAGATAGCCCCAACAAGAGAAAGGGTCATTTTATGCAAGCGGTGCTTCGACCGGCCGATTGCGCAATACTATCGTTCGTGTTTTCACCAACAGAACAGCATTGATCAATAATAGTGTGTCCGAATGACCTAAACTTTTCGTTACTGCGGAGAATTCATGTTTCGTCGTTTTGTTCTCCTTGCATCGTAATCCCGCATCCATGTCGCCCTAGCAAACCTGCTCTCCACATTATATTATCAATACAAATAACTGTGCAAGGTGGTGACGCCATAACCGCCGGGGAACTTGCCATCTTGTGGAATTGACTTACGAACTAATCCGCCTCGCTCTGCTTTGCTCACCGGTACTGGTCCTCTCCATATCGGTTGGCGGCGCCAGCTCTGTAGAGCAAGGTGAGGCACCCTGTGACGTAGCTCGACTTTATGGCGAGGGCATTCGCCACTTTGTCGATGTCGATGAAGCCGATGAAGCAGTCTGGATCCTCTCCATAGTGAGACAGCAGCCACGCGCTCGTTTTCTCGTAAGGCTGTTCCCCCCCCCATTTGGACAAGGCGAACGTTCGCGAAATGGGCAATGCAAACCGCGGTCGGTCAACGTTATTACTGTACACATGTACACCTGGGGGTTTTTCCGGTAAGTACGAAATGGGAATTGCTTGTCCTGCGCTGTTTCCATGTTACTGTAGCTGTGGTGTGCACCTGCCACCCGCACATTCACGCTTGTCCCCACCCCTTTCGTCTTTCGGTGAGTGCCGCCTTACTGAACAATCAACCGGAGCATCGGCAATAAAGGTCACTCACGTGCTCCTGGCGCGCCGGACTTTCGTTCTGACCACCACCGGCTTTCCTCGCCTTAGCACCTGCCTCAGGCCGGCGCGAGGCCGATCCGCTGGGGCGGTGTTTCCTCCTATGTGGTCAAGACGTAAGGAATTCGCAAGTTTCATTGAGACGGGACGACACAACTGATGTCAGACTCGCTACAGCATCGTTTCGAACCACCAGTGGATGCACCTATTAGCTTCCTCACATAGCTTTGCCACAGAACCATTCCCTGTTGCCACTACTGTAGGTTCGCTGTTGTTGTGGCTGACAGTGGGTAGTTGCCTGAGCTGGACGTGGTTTCCCCGTCGAGGTACAGACTTATATCGCAGCCACGTCTCTTTTAGATGACCAGATCCCATGTTGGAAGCTGTGCTCCATTTATTTTTGGTTTGTTCTTTTACCCCTCGCGAGCAAAATTTTGCTCATGGCACTCAGTGAGCATCACTGGTAAAAAAAAAAACGGTTCGCAAGGGAGCACAAATAGGTCTCGCTTAGACTATTGCTCTGGTTCAGAGTATATTGTCCACGTTACGCACAATGACATGAGCCTGTTAGCTCGTCCTTATTCTGCTGTTCTTCTGGCATATATCTGTTAAGTTGCAATACACAAAAACTCCCCACCAGCCAAGAGCCGTTCGAAGCGCTTGTGCACCCATCCGAGAGCAGTTGGTTTGAATAGACGGTGCAAAAATCCCAGTGACTGTCGACATACATCGTCAGTCACTGCAAGAGGACGAAAACGATACAGCAAGTGCATCCTTCTCGCGCACTCAGAAGCAATGCCGGAGAGCCATATCTTCGAGGAGAGCGTTGAGAGAGAGCGCTGTGGGTTCAAGAGGAGAACTACCAACAGCTACAGAAGTGGTCTCTAGGCAACGTTCTTCGGTGGTTTCCGCTAAGCCCGTGCGTCCCGGACGATGTAGTGTTTGAGGTGACATCCCTCTTTGAAAGGAACTCATGTACACCGTATGACGTAGGAAAGGCTAGATACCTGTTATTGTCTCTTCCGGCGTCATCCATAGGGATTGCTGCTCCGTCCTTGCCCGTCGGGAAGATAACCCGTCGCAGGCACCAGCGCAGGCACCTGGTATCTTTATGTCTGTGAGCGATCGTGTTCGCGACAGCCCGCCCTTGGTGCACGAGATCGGGGAGTATCGCGGAGGTGTACACGCCCGATGAACAGGACAAGGGAAAGAATGGGACACAGGAAGGGATGAACCAGTGGTAGCAGATGTGGTGTGTGCAAATAGGAGGTTGAGGGCTGCACCGGTTTGTCGTTCCTTTCCGGATTCAAGCCAACCGGCGAACATTACACCGCTCATGTAGTTCAGAAAATTGCAAGCTTTGTAAAACCACGATAATACTAATACTGCTGTAGATTAGCGTAGGTCAAGTATTGGGTCCTACTCTTTTCTTCTCCCATTCCTGGACTGTAATATTGCGTTTCCTTCCCAAATTGCTCTATAATAACTAGACCTCACTATTGCCCCTCAATTGTTTTTTGAGAGCTGCGAGCGGGAGTCAAACAGAAGGAGTTCCTCCGCGGTACATATCAACCTTGCATTTTATCACGCACTAGAAGAACGGTTGAGATGTTCTCCCCTCACCCTTCCTATCGATCAAGCGCATTTCACCTTGCAGAGTCCGTTGCTTCTTTGTTTTACAATGACAGCTTTTTATAGATAATAATGCGATCGGTTTTAATAGGAAAAACCGCGTTGACGTGTTTACAGTAGCAGCAGTAAAGAGAAAAAAAACTGCTTTAATTTAGTCTGTGTCGGCGTACAACAACAGAAGTACTGTAGTCCCCTTTGGACATCGCGCAGTAGGTTATGTTGGCCCTCGGCTCTTACACACGGGTGGAGAGCAAGGCGTACAATCCAACGTGAGCTAAGCTTTTGCGCAGCGGAGCAGCGTGTGTCACGACGAGAGCGTGCAGAGGCAACGTAGTAACTGCTCAATCAAGGTCAAGCCAAGATCTTTTTTGTTGTGTTGATGCCGTTCTTCTCCCTTTCAACCGGGCGACAACGTCAACTTACTGCTGCATCCGTGTTGGGTGGACTACCGAATAACAAAGGTCAGTGAGTTGATGTATCGCGTGTCGTGTGGAGCCTTCACTGCCGCGGCATGGGCCGGTGGAAGTCGGGGCATGTCATTAGTAGAAAAAAAAGTAGCGGTACCCAAGGCGGTGTACTGCTGTACAGCATTGCTGTACACTGCTGTAATCCGGCTGCAGACCGCAGACTGCAGCGAGAGTTTCGAATGCCTCCAAAACCGTTTGGAAACACCCGCGGCCACCGAGTTTGTTTCGCCGCACACCACCTCAACCACACACGTGTTCTCTCGTGCTGCGTTTGCTGCCCTCTGTCCTCCTCTTGCTGTGTGGTCACTCGTCCGCCATCTTGTGAATACTTGCCACGGTGATCTGGAAAGGCGTTTCTCTACGATCGTCTTGTTGATAGCGCCCTGTTGGACTCGGTGGAGACGGCGCCACGTGTGCTAACAGCTACTGGTAAAACTGTGCTGCTGCATGAACGGCCCAGCGCATTTGGATCATGACGGCGACAGGAAACAGGGAGGTCCACAACCTCTTGTCTATCATGGTGGTGCTCTTGCCTGCGACGTGGAGCCTCCTCATGCCACCGACATGTTTTCCGAGCCGGTTTTGGGTTCCGAGGTGAGAATGTTGGGTTGGTCATCAGTTGTCAACAATCAAAATCTTTGCGATCTGACTTGACTCCTTGCTGCCAATCGACTTTTTTCGTCTTTTCGTATCCTGGCACGAAGCAACGGCCACTGCACCACAGAGTAGTGGCGCGTGGTGTCTACTGCAGTCCTAGAGTATGTGGCATGTCGGGCAGTTTCTCCAATACCGAACACGAATCAAAGCACGCTGATGCTTTCCACGAAGGGCGAACTCGGTGTCAATCAACTCCTCCGGGACCGTACACTTCGAAGTGCTACTTGCAGGCGTTGTCACTGCTGCGTGGTAGCATTCTCACCCGAACTTCTGCTCCATACCTGTAGAAGGGGTTCTTGTGTGTGGGGTTGCTTTGTTGGTATCACTTTCCGCTCTCTGTCTTCCCTGAATTGTGTTTCGATTTTCATGGCGTCATCACGGCGTGCATCCTTCGGGGCAACCCAGACACTGGCCTGTGTCCCTGCGGCTGGGCAGACTGGCACTCGTTAGATTGGGTAATACAGCAGTACTCGTTTGAGTTAGAGTGCCAACACCGCTCGACCCTGTCGTGTGTTTTGACCTTCTCTTCGTGCGTAAAGACATGCGCAAGTCGCCCCCAAGATGCGATGCCAGGGGGAGTGCGGCACCACTCGTGCTGCTACTGCTGCTGCCAATGCTAGCCGCCAAGCCTCGTGGGGGGTAGGTGTGTCATCGTGGGTTGCCGGAGCAACTTCTTTTTCCCGATCGGCGATACACGCATCCACTCCGGAAGGGGTAGGGGCTTGGTGGAATGGCAGCAGCTCAGCAGGCGGGGGCGCGGGCGGGGGCGGCGGCAACAACGGCACCGACGGGGGCGCTTCAGCAGGGGGGGCAATGGGGGAAGGAGACGACGCTAAGGGGGCCTCGGATATGAATGCGTGCAGCACTCAGCATCGAGATAGGGGTGAACGGGCGTCTTCAACGGTTGACATGAGTGGTGGGGAGCCGAAGAAGAGCGCAAGTTTCGGGCCGTGGGTGTGGCTGTCGGCGATGTGGGGCATGTACGCGGCGTGGCTGAGGCGATCGCCGTTGGTGGCGAAGGCGGTGACGTCGGGGGTGTTAGGTCTCAGCGGGGATATGGCGGCACAGTTCTTCGAGTTCCAGCAGAAGGCTGAAAGCGGACGCCGAGGGCCGTTCTTGAAGGTGAATGAGTGGCGCTCAGTTGTAATTTCGACGTGACCGTTGACCTGTTGCCTAGCGCGTTTGAGGTCACTCGACGGATACAGTTTTCTTGTCGCGAGCATGGCAGATAGTCTTCGCAAGTTGAAGCCAGTCCTCGCGTTATGGCTAGGAATGAACTTGGCGGTGCACATTGCTCCACACACTCGAACCTGTCCCCACGACCGGAGGGAGAAGGGCATACTCATTGCATCGCTCAAACACTGCTGTTAGGCCTCAAGATTACCCCGCTACCGACCAAAAGAGAAGATCATACATAGCAAACACCCAAAAAGACATGTCTTTTTTCATGACTCGGTAGCCGAAATATTATACACTTGATTTAGAATATAAGCGCGGAACGAAACTCTGGCTCCAGATGGAGAGTTGAATCGTCATGCTCCGCGGCACTTGGATATAGACCATACTCAAGGGATCACCAGGACCACCTTTTGTCCTCCGTCGTCTCGAAGGACGAGAGAGGGACGAGAACACACGGTTTTTTGAGTGCTTTGGTCCGTCACTCGATTTTTCTCCCTTTAAGTCAATAATCTGTTCCTGGTGATCTCTACCTGGTTCTATGCACATTTCTGTACACATTTCTGTGCACACAGCACAAAAACCGCACCCCACTCCGAGATACCTTCTGTCTAGGGGCGCGTCCCCCCGTTTGGGCTCTCATGGGCACAAGTTCTAGAGATGATCGCCCAGAAAAACAAGGCCGAAAAATAAGAGAGCGTATGCTTCTTTCAAGCTTTCGTTGGTTCACGGGGCCTGTTGGGAGCGCACCGGAGACACGATTGGACATTTGCACGAAGGCCCTCGAGGACAAAGACTACCTTGCCTTGCAGCTAGAGTGCGGAGCCCACGCTGAGACACTGAAAAAGGCATCCACGGCCAAGCGGTGTCGACATTCGTTGCTTCGAAACGGGGGCACATGACACATCCTGAAAACAAAGAACATGCCGAAAATCACACTTCATATTCGAGATTGGTTTCACCATTCTCCCGCCATCTACAAACTGCCACGGGTGATCCTGAGCACATGCACCGCTAGCCCTGCACACACTGATCCTCGGAAGCTATAAACGTCACTCTTCCTCGATGAACTGGTCCCGATATGTGCGTGAGTGTGTTTTGGTGGAAGCAGCAGATTTGAGTTGGCTGGAGAAGCGGCTGCAGGCTCCAACTTCAAGCTTTTTCGAAACCACGCTCGCACGTGTTTTGAGATCAATTCATCTAGGGCAAACAACGTAAAGTGCTTCGAGAATCATTGTGAGTTGGGCTAAATAGCGACGCATGTGCTCAGGATCGCCTGTGGGACATTGTGGGCGGCGGCAGAACGGATAGAAACAGCGCCAGGAACTGCCTCTGATGACACCGACTTTTTTTCGGTTTATTTTCCCTCCGCTCTCATGCGCATATGTATGTTCCGACTTTGCTCTGCTGTGAATGCATACATGTCTATGCGTTAGTGCTCCAGCTGATGGGCTATGCTAGTTCGCCCGATCCGCCGGTGTAGTGCACATGATCCTTTGCCGGTGGGCCCGTGGCTGTGTGTATTGTATGCAGAGCACGTTGTATTTGTACGCTTTGGGGTTGTTGACAAAGTTTACAAGTGGAGTCGTGTTTTTTCAGCGTTTTGATGACTTAGCCACCTGTTTTAGGGAGTGTTGATTGGTTACTTTGAACTGGCTCTAGTCTGTTGGGCTACCGAACACGGACACTTTTTTGGCCCAATAAAAATGTAATCTCAAGGTCTATGTGTGTGTTGTTGTACACTGTGACAGCACCACGATGCACAGCTGGTCACCAACCAACATTGACGTTGGACCGCATCTGATTTCGCAACGCAACATTGACCCCCCGTTGCAAAACGTCACATGTACTGTACGCAAGGCCAGTCTGCCGTCCATATTGGCCTCTCCTGGATGCTACTGTACACTCAGATCCATGCCATCATGGCACCAGGATACTCGCCGCCTACATCGGCACCTCTGCTTTGGGCATTGACGCAGGAATCCCATGTTGTTGGGTATTTGCAGAGGGCAGTACTTTGAAGCTGACCGTGTTTGTGCGCCGGGTCTCTTGATGCGCATGAAGCGCACCCTAGTAACGTCATACGCATTTTCCATATCGCTCGTAAGACCTCCCTGCACGTAACATTCCGTGCGACTAGGGGGGAGTTGAGCAGAAGCTTCGTCCTGCACAAATCGTCCCAACATGCAAACCCACCTCCCAGTACTCACGAAGGCAAGGCGCCAATTCCTGCCTCCCATTGCTGCTTCGCTCACCATTCCTCAGAACAACCGCCGATTAACCGCCGTGGCTATCGATAGCATACTCATCACTGGCCCGGCGCTTCACGCGCTTTACGGGTTGTTGGAATGCCTCATTCCGACGGTGGGGGGAGGCTTCGTCCCCGCCGCGTTGCACGTTGTAATCGACACCTTCGTCTTCGACCCGATGTTTGTGGCGTCGTTTTTCTGCGTCACGGGAATGCTTGAGAGTCGACCTCTCAGGAAAAGTATCCTGCCGGCCTTGCGGAGGTGAGACAGCGGAGTGTGTGCTTGCCGACGTGTACGGGCGAAGGCGCCTTTTCTTTCGTGGGTTTCGCTTTCGTCGTCTACAAGTGGCGCGATGTCGCGTGTTTTTTCGGTGCTCGAGTCTGGTCGCTTTGAACACCTTCCATGCCGTTGTGATGTTCCAGGTACAAGGCAGCAGGCTTATTTCCCCACGACGTTTGGCGGTTCAACGTTAGCGTATGACAGACCCGGATCCGTAGCGTATGGGCTTTGGGTGTTCAGTGAGAGGATTTGAGTGTGAACCGTGCTAAGTACGTGGCGCGCTCTTGTGTGGAACAGGCGGCGCATTGTTCTGAAAGGCTTGAAACCCCTGAATCAATAATACCTCTTGAAGGGTCGTCTCGACACACACTGCAGATCACCCGACCGCCACCACCCCCGATGCACCAACGCGTCCGTTCGATCGCATAACACAGAGAGTTCTGGCCAGCGGTGCAAGGATCATGGCTGGTGTCCTTGTTGTTCTGCCCTCTCCAGTTCGCCACTTTCCGATACCTTCCCCTAGAATTCCGGGTACTGTCAGTGAACGCGTGCGACATCGCTTGGACGTCCGTCATGAGCTACTTCAGCCACAAGGCGGTCCCTGCGGAGGGAGTGTTGGACTGAGGTCGGTTGCAAACCAGCGGTAGGGGGCCGAAAGGGGCCGGCAAAACAGCAGCGCTAGTTTGCAACACAGGCAACATGGTTAGAGCGGTGACAATGGAAATCGAGATGGCAGAGGTCCCGAGCGGTGAATTGCAACAAGGGCGAAGTTGAGTGGTTCCATACCCCATGACGTCGTACGTGTTTTAGGACGTGCACCGTTGTATTTTTAGTCCCCTCAAATTTTACATTCGCCCGCCTAGAGGTCTCGGCGATGCCGTCAGGTCGACAGTTGCAGCATTAGCGTAAGAATTTTGTCGTCAAGAGCTGTGTAATATTCCACTTTGTTGTATGTCACGTTTCTAATCCCCGCGATACATTCGTCTTGGCAGCTGCAAGGGTCCGCAGCAACCCTCCTTGTGTGATTAGCATAGTTTTGTTCAACGCCAGCCGTTTTGGCCCTATTGGAGTTTCCGCCGTGGCGCTGCTAAGAGATGTATGTATATAGTTCGTGTACTGTAGACAATGCATGTTCCAGCCTACCTTAAAATTGTGAAGGACTCGAGAGGATGGATGGATTGCTTGTCGATCGACTATAGGGGGGTTACAGTTTTGCACCTTGTAAGTAATCCGCGAGAAATTTTTGCTACATTTCGTTAGGAGTTCCAAGGGGGAGAATATGTTCGCACGTTCCACAGGAGAGAACGTATCTAATTTCAAACAATTGAGAAGACGGTATAAAGTCGAGCCTTGTGTGTAGTTGAGATTGGCCAAGCGCTTGCCTCAGGCGCGAAACGCATCGGGAACTCAACTAACCCCAAGATAGTTAGCTTGAACGGGCACGATCTTGGACGGGCACGTCGTCCGAATACCGTCTGCCACGGTTCAGTTCCAATACCAACCTGAGGGTGAATTTGGGCACTCTCTCGACGGCGCGATTTAGAGACTTTGAGCCAGATTAACTGTTACCAAGTACTCCGGAGTGCTTGGTTTGTGACATCATTGACACCAGATACATTAATTGTGGTGGTTCCAAGGAGAAGCCCCATCAAACCAGCGACGGTTCTTCAGAACTCTGCCTTGCGATCACTCCCCGCGGAACGAACTTGCAATGTTCTGCAGTTCACACGCACAGGCCATGCTCGCAACAGTGCCATATTGTTTCGCGTGAAACCGAACCCGGTTTACGGGGGTACTGCAAATATGATCCGGTCAAATTGGTCGCCTCCTTATTCCATGCCGTCACGTTCTCTCTACATACGTCCAGCTTCTTGTACCAAAATATATTGCAGTCGTCTGAAACGACCCCACACTACGTTCAAGCCTGTCTGGCTACCATCAGTTCAGGCACGAGTGCCGTCACAATTTTTTACCTATACATTGTAGCATACCCCAATGGCACAGCACCACGCCCCTTCCCGCCCAACACAATGATTGCCCACATTATGTAGGAGAGGGCCAGTTAAGCGGAGCGTGACTGTTACTATTTACAGAAAGACACCTTTCCCGACACAACCAGGCTGAAGCCAGATCAATACGTGTGTCGCGTCACCAGGTACATATGCACGACCATGCACTTGAGGTGAACACTTTCAACCAGGTACGACAACGGTCATCGCTTTCCACCCCTGTTGGGTGGAGGGGAAGACTGCGTCTTTTCTTGGGCCGCCTTCCACTTGGCCTCCGACTCCTTGAGCCTCTGCTGCCGGCTCTTCTTCCGTTCCTCCTGCCAGCGCCACGTGAAATGCCAAGGACCGCAGATGAGCTGAACAGCAGTGATCTCGCGCAACACCAGCCTGGGCTGTTTGATCAAGCTGAAGTATATGCATTGCGAAACGTTCGCCCTACAGCAGTCGCGCAGTGATCCGCACGATGAGCGAAAATCTAACTGCTGTGTCACGTACAGTTAATCAGGCGGGTGTTCAACAGGCCAAGCGGAAATAATAGCTACGTTCCTGTTTTACTGGTTTCTTTCGGCTTCAGCTACAGTAGCCTCGTACGATAGTGCCGACACCGTGTTCGCAGGAGAGACACGGGCGATAGAGGCTCAGCTGTTTGAAAAACGAAAAACACTGCGGCAACCAACTTACGGCAATAAAATCATCTCGTTTAAAGTCGTCAAGTGTACAATCGTACCTCAGCGTGTGACCAACAGAGAGAGTAACGGTCTTTTCATCGGGTTATGCGCGTGTATGCACATTTCTTCTCTCCGAAGAGATGCTACTGTTGTTTCTGCCGCAGAAGCCTTGGGCGCCAATTGTGTACGGCATGCTGCAGGCAACGTGCTTGGCTGGTAACTTAGGAGATTAATGGGATCCAAAAAGCAATGTGGGACGACCGTGAGACGTGCTTTGCCAGAAACAAGAAATCGCGGTCAAAGAGACAGCACCGACATCAGTCACAGCGTTAAGGGTTTCGGCTTTGCATAAAAGGAAGTAGATGAAATGAGTAAACCCTCCCCTAGAGAGTGTACAGCAGTCACTGCCGGGTCGGCCTTCCTCGCCACTTGCGAGCATCACCGACGGCCCTGTACAACAAACTATCACGACTATTCCATCCGGCGTGTGCAAGGATGCGCAGTGATCTACATATATACTCTACAATTCCTCTTTTCTGTCGGGGGCTCCGCTTTCACGTGCAGCTCGGTCGGCATTCCAACAGTCGGATAGCATGATGCTCATTTTTGCGTGATGGCGACAGCAGGGGGGGCGGCGGTGTGTGCGTGAATGTTCTCACTTGAGAGGGAAGGACCGCTGGAACTTTCTAGGGGCAAAACAAAAAACAAACTGCGGCAGGCGCTGCAGAGGATATCTTATACGCTACATGTAATCACGGACCCCATTCTACGACTGTACTATTGCATCGCCCCGGTGATGACACACGAATGGTCCCTGATGGCATACATCATGGCCCAGCAGCCATGTGCAACACACCCTTCAGTGCACTGGAACCAGCCCGTACCTTGGTATGATTTTTCATGCGATCAAAACCAATTTCTATTTCTCCCCCGCCTTCTTGGCAATATTCTACTTCGGCTGAGTCTTACGGCGTGATTTTTTCTGGATTGGATTTGGGGGGGTGGTCCTTTTCTGAGCCAAAAAAATAATTTGGGGGTCTTCCGGGTAGGAAAAAGGCGATTTCCAACAGCCCAAAATCCAACAGCGCAGTTTCCAAGAGCGATTCCGGCCGGCCTGTTAGAAAATTGACCCATTTTCCAACAGCGATCCTGTTGGAATATCGCTGTTGGAAATGGGGGGGGTACCCCCCGGTCACACCCCGATCGTGCCAGAACGAGAAACTACACCGTCTGCTGGCCAAACAGAGGCCAGTATCATAACGTCATGCACAAACCCTCAGCAGTTCTAAAATTCAGGGCGTTCTGCGCCGTGTTGGCCGCACACGAGCCGAAAACGTCAGCCCTGCCACATTTCTCTGCTGACGTTCTTGCCTATGGGCCGAAAAGAGCCGATTTTGCGCCTGCTGCATGTGTGACCAGTTCAAAACGCATGCCAGAGAGAGGCCTTAAGCCGTCGACATCCACAAACTGCAGCCAATGGCGTGTGTTCATACTCATACCCTCTGCTCGTGTACCAGAAACAGAGCGTGTTGTCCAGTTTTGAATGCACACGGCCTGCAAACGTGAACCAAAGTGTGTTGCGGTGTTGACTTTTTGGTCTTTTTTCTTGTTCCGCCGCGTGTTTGCTCCGTGTGTCACCCGCGACCAATCAAAGACGCATGCCAGAGAGAGGTCTTTGGCCGACGACATCCACAAACAGCAGCCAGTGGCGTGTGGTCATACACATACCCTTTGCTCGCGTCCCAGAAACAGAGCGTATCGTCCAGTTTTGATTGCACACGGCCTGCAAACGTGAATCGAGGTGTGGTTCGGTGTTGCCTTTTTTGGACGTTGCTTTTTTTTTCTGCCGCTTGCTCTGAGTCGAGTGTGATCAATGTACAACGCATGCCATCAGAGAGAGGCCTTTGGCCGACGGCATCCACAAACTGCAGCCACTGGCGTGCGATGATACGCATGCCCTGTGCAGGCGACCCATAAACAGGGCTCTCTGTGTCTTGTTGGCCGCACACGAGCAAAAACCGTGTACTGAAGCATGTTGTGACCCACAAGAACATGAATCAGCCTCTTTTTTCCCTTAAAAAAAAAAAACCTTTTTTCCCTTCAAAAAAAAATATACCTCGAGGAACCGTATGACGGTCGTTTGGATCTTGACATTTATTTCCGTGAGGTCATTCCCCCCGACCGAGAGAAAAAAAAATCTCCGAAATAATGACGCCGTACGACTCAGCCTTCGTGCCAGGCTGTCGTCAATTTAGAATTTTTGCTCAGAACACGACGTACATGGCAACACTTAGCTGAGTGCTGTTCGCCTTCATTGCCGGGGCCATGTGGTTACCACCTGGTATGTCGCCCCTCGTCTGCACACGACAACAAGTTGTAGCGTGGAAGGAAGTTCACTGTAGTGCACTACAGAGTACATCGTCTATATATATGCATACGGTGGTACCAGTGACATCACCCCCGCTCAGCGCAACACACCATGCGAATGCGGCAGTGTTATCATACCCCTGGTTATCACTTACCCTTGTTCATGGCTGCCGAGATCTTTACTTTATCACCCGGGCTACGGGCTACAAGAAAAAAGAGGCGATGTCCCGGGGCGCCGGGGTGTGTTATCTTACATAAGCGTTACGACAACCATTGCAACCCATGGAATATCCAGAAAATATCTTCTCGTGGTCTTTGATGCACCTGAGCACCGCAGATTTTCACTCAGAGCATCAGTCAAGATCGCAAGGTAGGTACATGTAGGTAGATGTTCGATTGGCTTGCGGAATATCGCTACTGTTTGGCAAAAAGACGAAGTACTGTATCAACTTGAACGACGGACCCAATTCGGTACTCACGTAGTCTTTCGTGGTCTCCGCCTGGTGCGTCTTGGAGCGTTGCGCAGACGACAATTTGCTTCCCATGATGCGGTCAAAGAGAGCCGAAGAGGCGGAGGAAGTGGCGATCCAGTTCAGTACCAACAGCCAAGAGAGCCAACACCGAGCCCAGTCAGCGGTTAAACGTTGAGAACAGCAAACACCACGCCATGTGTGTAATGCAGCAGCAGGCAGAGTTTAGAGGGGCTCCGCATGATGGATGCTGGGGGCGGGTTCGTGCGTGGTGTATGAACGGGGCAGTGGCTGACATGGTTGACCCGAATGCCGGCCGTTGGCCGCTGCAGTATTCGACCATGCCGACACGACTCGAAGCGAAAGGCGTGTGAGAGAAGCGAGGCCAGGGCGTGGAGGAATCAGCGTTGTCCAAGCGGGTGAGATTGATTAACAATACCTGGTAGAGACTACTGCTGTTGTTGAACCTGGGGTAGAACATCGGACACACGGAGTGTTGCCAACGGCACCGCTAGAGACGTAAGGTGTCAGCACTGCATAGACCCGCAGATCACCAGCAGCAGTAGAGACATTCACACCACTTCAATTCGCGGGCCGTCTACTTCATCAGCTTTGCAAAAGCTGGCCATCTATAACTCTTTTGGTCCATCTTTTAGCAGGGCGTCGGCAAGCTTGGCAAGTGCGGGAAAACCCCCATCTTCCCAGCCACCGATGCGGACGAACAGCCTGTATTTTTCTCTTTTTTTAGAGTACATGGTTTACCACAAGCAGCAGGATCTTGGCCTTGAAAACAAGACTGGCCCGTGGTTTCACTATGCCGTGTTATTCTAGTTGGGTGGAACATTCAACTCTAACCCCACGGCAGCATGAATGGGAGGACGCTCACATCGTGAGGAACTGAGGAACTGCCAAATATTCTTCTTGATGTTCCGACAGCGGAAAAGTCCGAGGTGGAGAGCGAACCCCTAAAGGCAGACAAACCCCTGATTCCTTGAATAATCTGTGAGAACGACTCCGAACCATCTGCGGTACGTATTTGGTCTTCGCGAAAAGTTGGAGCTGTCATGGAGGTAGGTGCCTGGGAGATCACTTGCTTATTTGTGTGGGTAGGGTTGGCAGGGTCGACTTTTTGTTTGGGGTAGACAAAAAAGAGTTGGTACATAAGTCAATACTGCTGTACCCACCCCTTTATCTCGAATTTTGCATTTTGGAGACCACGTGTGACAGGGCACACACAACCACTGAAGACATCATTCCCATGCATGGAAAACATGAGCAGGGCCCATGCGCAGCATAAACACCAACTGTTGCAAACTTTCGGGCGCGTCTTCACCCTATGCACCGCCGCGCGAACAAGGCGTCAACAGGTGCCCGATTTTGTCCGAAATTCGGTGGGTATTTTACTAGACAAAAGTACTCACCATTGTATGTATACATTTTCATGTACCCACCGTTGTCGGCTGTGCGACCCACCTTTGTCCGAAACGCACTTTTGTCCAATTTGTTCATTCGAAAAATCGACCTCCACGTCATCGCACGGGGGAACTGTTCGAATGAAAAAATCGGGTAAGGGTGGGTACATTTCGCACAAAGGTGGGCCACACAGCAGACGAAGGTGGGTACGTGAAAATGTACTAGTAGTAGATTTCGGTGGGTATTCCCACCGGAATTTCGGACAAAATCGGGTAACCCGTTGAGACCTTGTATGCCTCGGCGGTGTATAGGGTGAAGACGTGCCCGAAATCCTGTAAAAATTGATGTGCATGGGCCCTGCCCATGTTTTCCATGCATCGGAATGATATGTTGAAGTGGTTGTGCCCTGTCACGAGTGGTCTCCGAAATGTAAATTTTCGAGCACCCACTGGGGGTGTGAGGAAGGAGTGGGTATACCCATTTCTGTCTATTTCCCTCTTTTTTTGTCATTGGTGAGGTTTGATTTTGTTATTTTTGGGGAGTACATGAAGCGTCGGCAATTTTGCAGTAACACCCGTCCGAGGCTAGCTTCCAAGACTTCGTATGCAGTATGTATCATGTATTCTTGCATACCTGTCACCGGAGACGCGTGCTTTGCGAATCTTGGTTGAAATGGAAAAGTTACACCTTGCCTCTGCCAAAACAGATGGGTGGCTGGCCTACGGACACCTCGGTGACAGCTGCAACTTTCTTGAAAACCGAACGGTGTTTCGGAGTCGTTCGCGGCGCAGACAGCCCGAACAGCAGTGGTAAACGCAATAGCCAACATGTTTGGACGAAGAGTTCTGCGATATGATTCTACAACACGGGTACAAGTGGATAAAGTATACAGATGTGAACAATATGTACGGGGTGAGGCACTCGTCGAGACCACAGAAAGGTTTTCTCATGGAATACTTTAGTTGCTGGTGTCGACGGGCTCCCGGGAAGCACGAGCGTTTCCTCTCCCCGAGACGAGGGACTGATGAGCTCACAAAACAGCGGACGGAAGGGCTGTTAGTCTATCATCCATCCGGAGAACTCCTTCGTTGTTCTTATCCCAGAGTATCACCCCTCGCCCAGTCTACGCTCAATCCAGGCAGTTCATTCTTCTCGCTGGCCTGTTGGTCGGCCCGATCCCGTTTTACCGCTTCGTTCGAATTTCGCGACTCATGCATGGCCCAGGCTCGGCTGCAATGTTAAGTGCACCATCCTCAGTTCGTAGCGACACAACGGAAACTACTAAGACTGCCAGCGAGAGAAAGCGGCGATGGGCGGTCTGTGCGGCGAAGGTGAAAGCAGGGGCGCTGAGAGCGAAAACGTTCGTCACCAGTAGTGACAGCGAGAGCTGCAACGGCAGCAGCGAGAGCGAACACGAACGTGAAGGTGGCAGCAACAAAGGGTCCGACTCAGGGGTTCGAGATTGTGGGTCCCGCCCTCATTCTCTCAAGGTGTGATGCCGTTGTTTTTGCAAGAAACATCACACGGGCGTTTCTTCGCGCAACTCGTAAAGCGCAGCTTTACGCCATCTTTCTGTGTCTGGAATATCGAGAGAGCACGTTTGTTACGGCCAAACACGCTTATGTCGCCGGGTGCTTTACGTACGACTTGTGTTTTTCGTTGCTCACTCGGACAGCATCAAAGTAGCCGTTGTTTCCGTGTGATCTCCCGTGCGGACCGGCCGTGATTGCTGGGATCGATACGTTCTTGATCGCGCTTGACACTACCAATAATCCACGCTTGTCCGTTACCGACAAAGGTTCCTGCTTGGCATGCGCCAGTATTCGTAGCTGTTTGGTTGACCCTTCCTAATGCTGTCCCCCAAACCCGACATGTACACTTTGAATCTTTGTTGGGTTGCCCAGAGGGCTCCTTCTGTGTCATTTCCCTGCACACTTGACCTCGCCAAACAAGCACAAGCTCGAGAGATACCCGACTCAGAGGCTGAACTGGGTGTCGTCGGCCCAAGACCATGTGGTGATGCGGTGACGATTCTCAACGGCGCTACCAGCACAGAGGGCGGGAGAGATATCATCGTTCGAGACCGCCCCGACCAAGCCGCCCGAGATGACGTGGAGGCTGACACGGACGTGGAGGCTGAAGTTGATTCGGGCCCTAATATTGGTGGTGGTGGTGGTGGTGCGGATACACCGTTGCGTTCGCCGCCTGATGCGACCAGGGAAGCACTCGTCGATCCGCTCTCGCTTGCCGAGGAGGCCGGTGAGGGAGAGGGTGCGGGGGAGGAAGAAGATTCCACCTTGTGGGAGCTGTCTTCCTCAAGCGAGGAGAGCAACGCGCTCTCACCGACATGGTGCGTCCCACTCGGAGAGCGGGAGTAAGTCTGAGCAGGCTGTGCATGTACTGCGTGAAGAGTGTACGGTATTTCCGGCGTGTTCGCTGCGCTGGGTGTCGCTTTGGCCGTGGCACCATCGCCGTATACGTTCGTTTCCTTTGGGCAGCGTCGGTATTGGGGTCGTCATCTATCCAAAGCGATGTCAAAGTACTTCTCTCTCACAGAGCACTGTCACGTACAGCGAAGACAATTGATCATTGTGTCCTCGTCCACTACAGCTCATGCCAATCAACGTGCCTCGTGTGCCGCTTTCGCTTTCCCCGTTCAGGCCGAGATCGACGTCGAGATCGAGGGTGAGGCGGAAAGATGGTGGCCGAGAGAACGGACACGGACACGCTAACTCCCCCCCGCGCGCTATTTCGTCGGCCCAACAAGTGCTTCCGGAGTCGCCGGGGTCATATGTCGCGCGCATGAGCCGAATCTTGGCTCAAGTGCGGCAGACTACGAGCCCAAGCGCGTCTGCGACCAACAGCCAAGCTCCCGACAACGGGAGAAAGGCATTCGGCCGCCCCTTGGGAGGTTCCTCTTCCGGCAGCAACGAAATTGCTGCCGGGGGCGAAAATACTGTCGGCGGCGAGACTGTCGCTCCGGTCGAGGACTGCTTGAAAGATTCCGAGACAAGTGAGCACCAGCAGCCCGGCATTAGCGCTGTCGATATAACGGAAACATCGCCTTCGGAGGGGCTGGGTATCGGGCACCAGCGCTTGGAAGGGGCCGTGGGGATGAACCAGAAGCCAGCGGCTCCGGATCAGAAGCGATGGCAAGGCGGGAGGGTGTTGGAGGGGGCAGAACTTGGTGAGGAACATCATGGACTCGTCTACCACAAAGAGCAGCCGGAGAGCCGCGGCGATGTGGAGCTCATGATTGCGGCAGTTTCGGTAATGGTCGGGATGATCGTGCCCGAGCAATACCAGTGGATCCTATGGATCGGGTGCTGCGCGGTTACCGTGTGGTTCCCGTTGCGGCGACATTTCCGGTGGCTGTTGTGGTGGGGATCGGATGCTTCGGCGTGGCAGCAACCGTCGCTGGAAGTCCTCATTGATGCCGGTGACGGCCTAGACCCACCACCGCCGTACTACGATATCCATGTCGATGGTGTGGATGTTGGTGGCGCGGGAGTTCTTCTGAAGGCAGGTGAACCACCAACACCTTCCCACGAAAAATTAGACGGTAGAGCTGGAACACCGATGTTCCGTGGCGAATCAGAGAAGAGTATAAAGGCGGGGGAGGGCGTAGGTGAAAGCAGCGGTGTCTTGGGAGGGGGGGGAAAGCATGAGGAAGAGCTCGAGGAACGGTACCAGCAACTGCTGGCAGGCTTGTCGAAGACAGAGCTGGAGTTTGTCGAATCGGCTGGAGATGAGGAGAAAACAAGGCTGCTACACCAGGTGTGGTAACTGCACCAGTAGAGGTACCGCATTCTCTGCCGTAGGGCTCTCAGGAGGTAGGATCAGTTGGTTGCCTTTAAGACGCTTTTATCAATCAAATTCGTCCTCGTGGAGTGAGCGACGAAGTCAGCCCTTCAATAGTGTGGTGGTTTCACCGCAGAGCCGAGGGGACGTTGTGTTGGGCACCATGGTAGGCCCACTTTGCCGAACAGACGGGACTGATTTTCGAAGCCCCCTCCGAATATATACTTCATTTTTTTTCAAGACGATTATCGTACCGTGGAACTTAGATTGTGCTCCTGTGTGGCATCGTGGCCTAGGGGGTAAGGTCGAATTGGTTCGCCACTTCATTCCATCGCCTCCCCCATCCTTGTCGACTTTACCTGTTTTGCATACCCCATTTTCGAGAAACAAGAATGAAATATTCAAGTATGGCAGCATTCTTTGTCGAGGCACACCCTTCTAACTCGCGAGAAGCACCCTGACGCGGGGGGTCATGGAGATTTTTCGTTGCTATGCTTTGCACCGCTTTGAAACGCTTTGGTTCCTTGTCGTTCCCGTCCTTGCTCGAAACGACTTCATTTTCTGTTCTGTGCTACCCATGCTGAAGTGCTTGGAGTACGCGAACTACGACATGGCAGGGGCGATCAAGGTGTGTAGCACTTTCTGCAAGTTTAGACTCCAGGAGGGTTGGGACCTGGTGCTCTCTGCTCCAGAGCTGGAAACTCCTCTCCGAAGCCGGGTGCACACTTTGACGACGAACAGAGATAGGTGAGAATATATCAGCAACGTTGTATCGAGACCCTGCAAACTGCCCGTGGCCGTGGGTGTTGGCACGTCTTCTTTTCTAGTTTGCATGAAGGCGTCCGTGCGTATTCTTCTCCGGATGATACTGATACGAAGATGGTCTTGATGTTCGAGGGTTAACCAACTGTCATTTCTTTTAGTCGCTGCATTAGTGCCGTTCTTGGTCCACTTTTTTTGTCGTGTCCTTAAAGGATGCGCCGGAAACCAAAACACACAATCTCGTGGACAGGTCATAGCCTCTTCTGTCCCATCTTGACGGCGTAAGCCGCCGAGTCCCTCTTCTTGCAAATTGCACAACTCCGACTTGTCAAGTAATACCCAACAACCCTCTTCCCAAAATCAAACACTCACCTAAGAATAACAAGTCCTCACAATGATTCAGTAGCAGCAAGTGGAGTGCTGACAAGTGATGCTGGTTGCGGGCGAACATGTTCCCACGTAACCAGCATCGCCTCTCAGCACTCGGCCTACTGCGACTGAAGAGGCTAAAACCCTCCCGCAAGGTTGTTTCTTGTGGTTTCCACCACAACTATGTGCCCAAGACCTGTATTACTGGACCAAGAAGTACACTACTGGAGGAAGACTATTTACCTCGGGGTGCGCTTTTGCCAAGGTTTTTTAAGCGGTGATAGCTTGCTGTGGGATCAACTGCCAGCTGCGCACACCAGCGAAATAATTGTGCTACTTGTATTTGGAACGTTTGTTGCATTGTCAAACGTAAGTTTTGCTACCAATGTTGGTTATGCTCCGCAGCCTTGATAGCGCTCGCTGCGGGGACAAACGGCGCTTTGGTTGAAGAATGGAGAAGGCGATGTGGTTTCCACCCGATTGGTTTTCAAGTTGATGACACATGTTGGCCACCCGGCACACGGGGCCAACCACGGCGTGATCAAAAGATGAATGCGGCGCGGTCGAATATCCTTTTTTCACTTTAAGATTCACTCGAAAAGTGAGCAGAAATTTCTCTCGGGCTCTCACGGCGCTGCATTCGGCCTCTCTGGACGGCTCACAGGCCTGCATTTCTCCAATCTTAATTTTCCCGTTTTCCCGATTTCCCGCTTTTTCCCGTTATCTCGCCGCTATTTTCCGCTTTTTTCATCTCTGCCATGTTTCCACCCTTCCTTTCGCATGCCTCTTACACGGGGCCTTCATCTTCATCTCTCGGTTGTCACACACACATCCATTCTTCACACATCCAGTCTGCTTTTGCCCGTTGCTCTCCACTTCTGTATATCGTTCAACATTCATAACATTCAACTTTCCTTTTCGTTGCTTTTCAGTTCCGAAACTTGACTACTGTACCTGTCAGTCTCGTTCTGCGCGGACGGGTTAAATCGGGAATGCCCGTCCGTTTCATCTGCTGCTGCTCTCATCCATCCACACATCACGTGTTACACCAGTCAGTCTCTCTGTCTCCCCTCACGCACCATCGTCAGTCTGTCTCTCCCCTCTCGCATGGCCCAGCACCATCTGTCCTGGGTCTTTGGGGGCCTCAGCTCCTTTCATTCCACTTCTTCTCTCCGGAACGCTTCTCTTCCGAATTTCCCGGGCGAGGGGCGGGGTTCTTAGGAAATATACATGAACAGCTGTTCTGAGCGGGGCGGCGAAAGCCGCCAGAGTACGCCCTCTCTCTCTCTTTGTGCACTAAGCCGTTTTTGATTTATTTGCACTACATTGCTACCGCTGGCCAATCGCGTATCTTGGAATCGATCGACTGAGCGAGGCGGCGAAAGCCGCCAGACCACCTTGTATAGCTACGACTTATTTTACTTCGCAGCAGTGTTGACACAACAGGGACAATTTCTGGAAGAATCATTATAACGACTTTGATGGCAGTTTCAGCGTGCGCAACAGGCGCGTTTTCGCCAAAGGTAACCTCTACTGTTGTCAGCTACGAGAGCAATGTGCGTTTACCCCCCGGACGAGGTGTACCAACTAACACCACCACTGTTTTGCTCCTTTCCATCACAAAACAAATGCGTCATCAGGACTGGGCGAGGGGTGCTGACGTTCTCTCCGGGTAAGTTGGACATGGACAAGGCCCCGCCGGCCGCTTACCACAAGATGCTCTGCTACGTCTTGCAAGAGGTGCGACAAAACGTTCTTTGAAGGATAGTTCAGTCATGGGGAGTACATCCGAGCGCAATCGTTTTGCTGGTTAGGTGTTGTTGTTGTTGTTCGTCGTCTTGGGGTTGTCTTGGCAGAATCCCTACATTTGTCATTGATCACCCTAATCGTCGGAAGGACAGCATCCCTCGTGAGCTGGGTACTTCGGAAAGGTGCACGGCAGGGCTCCCCTGTTCTGTGTACGCCATCTAGATGCATGCGTTCATTGGAATACGTCTTTTTGTTGTCCCTGGTATCGTGGCTCGCATGCTACTGGTTTGCTCACGGTCTCCCCGCCTGGTTGCGGTGACACTTCCACCAACTCGGGCCCAAATACGCTGCAGTATCCCAGGGTTGCACGCCATGGTGCAGCGTTTTACGGCTAGTTCCTCGCTCGTTCACATTGAAGCGTGTGCTATGATGCACAGCAACTGGTCGATGTCTGATGTCTGGACTCGGACAGGTTATTAAGGATGAGGAGCTGCAGACGAAGGGCCTCGTTCTTCTTGTCGATGCAAGGGGCGTGGGCTTCGGACTACTGAGACGCTTTACTCGTGAGTCTATCCGCGCGTTAGTTTTGGCTAGGTTTTGTTCAAAGGTTCTCTCACCTCTGTCGGACAGCAAGGTTGTCGTACAGACCATACTTGTGGTGTTGTGAAGTGCACTGATTCACCGGGTCCTTCCCACTTAACGATGTTTCATTTGTTGTTTGTATTCTCGATTGGTCTTGGTACGTCCTTGGCCAGAGTTTGGCGCGGTACGTGGTAGATACACATGCCTTTTACCTGTTTTTCCACCGTTCCCTACAGCAGAAAATGTCTTCCTCTTCTCTTCGAGTGTATGCACTTGTGGCTCAAAATCTCCCGTCGGTCCCCGGTTAGCCTCTTAGAATTCTCCAAGACTGTTCGGTGTAAACATCACGCTATCTCGTGATATATGGTGAACACGAGCCTATTATGTTGCACGAGTTTTGAAACCGGCGTAAGAACCCTGCGATTGAAGCAGCGCAAGCTGTACTGCTCTAGAGTAGATGCTGATTTCGGCAAAGAGGGCATACGCGGGCAGCATGCGCAAGTCGTTTGGGGAGTACTGCTGAAACAATGCAAATGCAAGAACTGAAGGTGCTCTCAATGTTTGTTTTTGCTGCAGTGGCGGACTACAAGAGGGGGTTGCGCATGCTAGGCGGGGCCTTTCCAGCGAAGGTCAAAGCTATTCGCATCCTGCACCTCAACCGAGTAATCGGCATGGCACTGAAGATCGCCATGCCGCTTCTCTCCGCAAAGATGAGGGCCAGGCAAGTAGAGCTCGCTGTAATGATTGCATACATACGCTCTAATTTTCCTGTTTGTCATGCACACTGTACAGCGTAGAAGTGCGAGACTTGAAATGAAGACAGGAGCGTAAGAGCTTGGTCATAAGTCTGTTGATCATTGTGCCTATAATAGGGAGCAGGCCCCCGCGCACGCCTTTGGTGGTTCAGGGGTTCGGGGGTATGCTTGGAAGCGTAGCCGGAACAGGGGCGTTGTCGATTGTATCACGTGACGTATGCTGAGCAATGCGCTGGTGCGGTTGGTGCCGAAGACACCGGACAGGCGCGGGAATGTGGGCACTAAGTTGATGTCGTGGTCGTCGAATGACTATGTTCGGCGTCGTCCGTAGTGTAAGTTTGTCGATTTCGCACAACCTGGGACAGCAGTTGGTACCAGTTATTGCCTGCAGGTTTACCGCGGGTTCAGTCATAGTGTACTTGGCGGCATGAGGGCGCTATAGGCGAAGCAGGTATTTGTTTCGGGAATGCATAGAATTCACAGGGTGTTTTTGCCGTACGTGTCAATCCGGTGCCTCTTGCCAGCCAAGTGTCCTGCCGTACCTGCGAGACATGCGGCATCCTCTGGGCAACGCATAGTTCACCTTCCCGCATTATTCATATTGTACACTCGTGCACGGCCGTGGGCTGTTTTGTTGGAGGGTCCTTCGCTACAGCAGTAGACCAAAAGTGCTATACCTCCTTCGAAAAGGGTATGTATCGAGCTTGGTCAGCCCATCAACTTTCTATTATTGCGCACACTGAATATTTATCATGTCTCTTTTTTTGTGAGCAGGGTGGAGTTCGTCACCGACGAAAGGGCCAGCGATGGGAGCTTCACGAAGGAGCTGGCAGACCCGTCTTCAATACCGGTGGAGCTGGGCATCAAAGGCACCTGGACCGGATCCCGTGACTTTTGGGATGAGTGGGTTGTACGGAGGGTTGATGAGCATGGATCCGAACGGTAGTGTGTTTCTTGAGGGATTATGTGGCATCTTGGGTCTATGAGTAAATATGCGAATTTCGCGTCGGTTTATGTTCAGGGCTCGTTAGGGCGACGTTAGACTTGGCGCTGTGTCCGCTGTACCTCGCGATTCTTTGCACAGAACCCGCTCTGGCGCCTTCAAGAGATCACGGTATCTTGGAGGAATCACTTTGTGTTGAGATTTTGGAAGTGAAGTACGGGACGGGCATGGAATGGTCAAGTGCAAGAGCTGAGACTCAACAGACCTCCGGTTCTACATAAATGGTAGCGAGTTCTCACACCAGCTGGGTGTGATGTTGGAGCAGTGCGAGATGTCAGATATGTGCAGTAGCTGAATCGGGGTGGACATGCGCTTGGGGGAGGTAACAGGTGCTCGGCGGTGTTCCAATGTAACAACGTTTAGGGTCATGCTTTGACGTGTTTTGAATGCGTTCACACAAAAGTCTTGCTGTTTTTTCATTTCTTAACTTGATCCCTTCCCCCATGAGTGGTTACGGGAGGTTCGGGTCACTCCGTAACCCCCCCGCGTGGTCGGGTTGAAAACGATTTTGTGTTCTGTAGGCTTGTCCTATGTTTCTCCTAGTACCATCTTAGCGGCATTGCCTCCGCGTTGTAGCACGGGTTGTGTGTTTGCGTATTGTGTATTTGTCGCGTTCCAGTTAATGATGCCCAGAATCTAAAATTATAATGTACAATAGAGTCAAATGCTGCGCGTACTTACGGTTGTTCAGCGCTGCCAGAACTGCACCGATGGGTGTGAGGTGGTGCTGTCAATGTGTTTTTTTGTAGTGTGTCCTGTTGCATGCAGGCAATTCTGATTATAATCTCTTCGCGTGCATTCTCGCCTTTGAATCCTGTACTTTTTCACCTATCTCGTTTGTGTGAGATATATTTTCCGTTATTTTGAGCCCTTTCGCAGCTCGAATTTCGACGTCTCAATCAGACTACGAACGCGTAGGCGAGTGCACTGTCCAAGGATGACAAGTGCATCACGCTTTCGCGGCGACTTGAAGCAGAGTCATTAGGATCAAATAGGAAGTGAATGTGTGGGCGCCGCTTGCACCGCAGCGTGGGCGGGGGTGGTGGTAATGTCAAGGTTGGGAATACTTGGTGCACGTGCGATCAAGATCAAGCACCACCAAGAACCAAATTAGCTGGGTGGGAGACAGCCTTCCTAGCAAGAAGTGTAGAAGCCAAAACTGGTCGTGAAACAAATGCTGATGGCTGAGGGGCAGGAAACGACCACAACTTGGTAAAGGGCACACGGTGCAAAGATAAGGTAGTGCTACCCTGCTGAAAAGCAGCCGGGGACCACGCATCCATCGAATGAAGCGTCAACTAGCCAAGGTGGAGCGGCTCACAAAGATTCGCGGGGGCAGTCAAAACGCTGAAGGCGTTGACAGTACACGATTGCCACGCGAGTGTCGGCAGCACAAGCAAGGTGCTCAGTACACATGCACTACGGCACTTGACCGGGGGGCACGCGGAGTTCGAGCGTACAAGCGCCATTTTGTCCAGGGCTTTGTTGTCCCGCAACACGGTTACGCTGACAAGCAAATGTGTTGCTGCTGGACCGCATCAATGCCAGGGCGTTTCTGTATCCGCGAGGCCAAAACATCACCTTGAATAGGGAGCACACCGACTTGTTCTGCAATGTACCTGTCAACAACCACCACAATCGTACGTCAACACAGCACCCCAACCTTCAACACAGTTTTAGTACTCTGCAGGGAACGCAACTTCATTGCTGTGTCGCTAAATGTAGCTTCAAATTTATTCAGGGGGCGAAGCACTACAGTCGGCATGCTGTCCAAGATCAGCGACAGGGCGAACAGCTGTGCGTTTCATGTCGACGGGCGAATGCAAACCCGCGACGGAACCGTTCCGGTGAAGCGAAGCCAACACCTGCTGAATTGAGCTTTGACCATCCACAGCAGCGAAGGAGTACGTTAGCTTGACTGGAAGAAAGTATGACTGCGAAAGCCTAAACACAGGCTCACACGAGCTTCTCCTAGTGATCCGCCCCATTTCCGTGGCCATTGTACGAACTCACCATAGGAGGCGATCCTAACTAATGGTATCTTTCATCGCCGCGGCGGCCTTGGCCGTGTACCGTCCAAGTACCCTTGCGTGCGCTTCAACGAACGTCCATGTTTCGCTTACGCCAGCAGTTCATCCTCCACGCGTGTGACCGCTCTGTACTCGTACATGATCGGAAATGATATCCTCAAGAGCTCTTGACTACCCTAAAAAAAATCCCAGCAATCCACACCATCCTGTTTTTGTGCAAGAGTAGGAGAGTAGCCCCTTCACCCGAACGGGTCTAAAACTTGAATGATCAACCGTAACTATATCGGTCATGAACGTCCTCGAGGATGTCTCTGCAGGGGATCACTGCCTTGAGCTTGATGTTCATGAGGAACGCCCCCGCTAGCTTCCTGTGGAGGCTGTAGGCTTCCTGTGGAGGCGGCGTCAACCTGTTGTGCGAACAATTTACGGAAGCAAACGTCACGAAAAACAAGCGAACCTGCTGCGAGGACACATGTGCACGCTGGTTTTTCTGTGGATTTGAGGGCGCCCCGTTGCTTGCAATATCAGCCCCACCGCATGCCTCTAGACGGGACACCGGAACTCCCAAGGTACTCTAGCGGGGTGACTTGGATTAGGGCACGGAAAGATTTCTTGACAACACCGGCATGCACAACGCAACAGCATGGAACAATACGCACAAAGCACACCGACACAAGCTTCAAGACACCAACTCACCAACCCTATGCATACCCAATGAGAGCGCACAGGACTAGACCTTGACATACATCTGGCACTGCCACCAGGGCTGTGACCCGCCCCGCACAAGTTCCCACAACGAATTATTACGGCACAAGGCTTGGCCACCCTTATCACCTGTGCTTCATGAACGTGTCTCCGTGTTGGCTCAGTCGTGCCGTAATGTTGCTTCCGTGGAAGTCGAAAGCCTCCCCGTCTCTGCACCGGGTAAGGGCGGCACCGAACAAGCAGAGGTGTGCGGAAAACAAAAAAGGTGAAAACGCCAGCCTAAACAAAACCGGGGCAGGCTACCACACGCCGGCGACAGCAAAGTTTCACTCGCTCCACGGGGGGGGGGGGGGACTTGCAATGGCACACGAAATGCAAAGTACCATTTCAGGCATCTCCACAATGGTTGAGTGAAGGCCTCCGTTCGCACCTGTCTATGAAAGGTTCCCCGACGACCAGGCCAGCCTGCAAGTGGGCCTTCATCATCGTCTGTGTCTCGTCTCCCGTCAAGAACTTGAGCTCCTGGCTTACCTGCAGAGTCGAAGGCGCCCAACTCAGCATCGAACATGAGCATTCCCCTCTAGCGTAAATGTAAATGTCGAAGACGTACACATCTGGAGAGGCATGTCTGGTGTCTGTTCATCACTACTCACACATGTTTTTCGTCTCGTCTACTGCAGAGAGTTTAGCGTTGTGAAACCTTCACGCATTCGAGAAGCGATCTTCTACATCAAGAAGCCGAGATAGTCGACAAGGGACAACGTGCCAATTTTCATGTGCTTAGAAAACAAGCTTGTTGACACGATTTTGACCAAGAGATAATGAAAGCGGCAACACAGGAGAGTCTTACGGCGCGACAAAACACGCAATCGTCGGCAGGCCTCCATATCCCTCTTGCCCGCGCCATGCTCACGCCGGATACAAAAATAAAGTGCAATCCCATGTCGTTTCCACTGAGGCACTGAAATCACCCCTACGAGACACTCGAGCTCGTCGATGACGAATAGCTGCTGTGCTCATCGCAATGCCATACGGTTATCCTTTCAAATGAGGACCGCAGAATTCCATTGCTATCTTCTCACAAAAGTCGAAATACCAGCTCCGCATGCTGCCAGTCACAAGCCAAGTCGCAGTACGAGCGGAGCAGCGTCGCCGTCGCCTTGAAAAACGGACCGGGCACCAAAATCACCCACCCGCATTATCTCCGCTTCGTCTTGGTTTGCGGCAGACCACACCAAGCGAAGGTAGTCGTCAACGAAGCCTTTTCGGTACTCTCGGCATGCTCCGAAGTCGATCAGACTCATCTTGCCTGAGGACAGACGCAGCGCGTCAGTTAGATTGAGAGGTGTTGCCAATGAACAAACCATGCTCAGTTTTCGGTAGTCGGGACGTGTTGACAAAAGAGCTGCGGCGAGCGCAAACGCACGGTACAGACACGCATGTTGCATATACCGGACCTCGAGGCTCGTGACTGCAAATCTGTCTCGAGAGCGTAAAATTTGATGCGGTAACGTCGCGCTCCAGCGTGAAGGAAATGTTCCAACGAAGGAGAAAACACCGGGTATCAATATGATGTGAAGGAAAGTGTGTGGCACAAAAGCATGTCACAACAAAACCTTCACATTAATTGGCTACAACATACGCTCGGCTGCATCGATGGCCCGCCAGTAGAGGTTCTTCAAGATGGGATGTTTCCAATACTACCTCTGGCGGCCTGGACAGCCTCTTAGCTGTGGAGCATTGAAACTCGGTCTAGGATGCGTAAGACGATTATCACTCATACCATAGCAGTGGTACCGGTGAGAGGTTAAACAAGAACAGACGGCGCCATTTCAGGCAATACTGACCTGTCTCGCGATCAAACAGGAAGTTTCCCCAGTTGGGGTCCGTCTGCATGAAGCGCCAGTCAAACAGCTCGTTGATCGTGCAGCGTAGCATGAGCCTCGCAACGTGGTTTCGGACTTCCTGCGTTCCGTTGGATTATGAACGCCAAAGACAGCAACCACAAGGTCCATCGGCATTGATCACGTTGCGTCCCACTTACCAACGAAATCATCGCTCGTGTTCCACGGTAGGTTGAAGCACCGTTCTCTTCGGATGTGCTTGTAAGAAAATAGCATTTCCATCCGCGTTAGCCGCTTTTTCAGACGTTCTCGACCAGCTGCGCGTGCCATGGGGCACCATTTTATTCTAACGATAGATCATTGACAGTAGCAGGTTGAGGGGACCCAGCAGAATCACATGCCCGATTTCCAAATGGCACTCGCACTGCTGAACAATCTGTCAAACTCAACGCGCCAGCCTGGGACGATTTCTAGAAGGAGGGCGCACTCAGCATAGCTCAACTTACCTGTGGCATGGGCAAGACCTGGTCCACAGGGACTCCAGGAGCCAAATGTGTCGTCAATACCTGCCGTGTTCAGTGTCACCGAGACCGAGAGCACAGGGTCAGGAATAATAGCCTTCGTTGAGTCAAGGACACTGACTTGCTTTGAAGCCTGCCTGTCGGGCGAGATGTGACCATCGACACGGGTTCACAGGATTCGAAAGCAAACGTACACGCTGACATACTGTACACAATGGACACAGGCGCATCGTACTGAAAGGTTTCTTGAAGGATCTGTGCAACGGGAGAAAATGCCGACGGTTCACCCAAGCTGTAGCCATGTGCCGCTGGTGACTCAGCCAAAGCCACCGCGAAAAGAGTTACACCACACAAGCAAACAGGCCTGCAAGGGCGACTTGCTGAAGGGATTGCGTGTTGAACTAAACCGCAACACATTGCTTCAAACGTCAGCACGCAAACCGAGGCACAGGCAAAACCAATGGAAGAACACAAACGCAGAGCTGAGCTAGCCACAGCGGCGAATCTACCACTGCTTTCTGTTCTGAAGAAACAAATAGGCGACATTGATGTTATTGCAGCACTCCATAACCATGTGTTCAAAACGGAGGGGAGAGGGGGGGACCTCCTATGTTTCAGATGACGCCGTTTGCTACACGGCCACACATCCGAGCGGCGAAAACATTACTTTGCACCATCGGGCTATTTTCAGCTTCTAAGCGAAAAACAAAACTGGCAACGAGCCCCGGGGGAAATCGTTTTCAGACGTGTGTCGGGTTTCGCGAACCGGTGAAACAGCCGCTGAATCCTATATGCGAGACCATAATGGGATGCAATGGATGGGTTGCCTGAAAATACTCGTGGGAGCCATTGCTAGCCTTGCGTTCCTTGCCTTGGCTCACCTCTTTGCTGACCAGCTCCTGGACGACAGTCGGAACACTGACCCACTTACTGAGGCTCTCATCCGACTCTACCAGCTTCTTGAATCGTTCCTGAACACAGCAAGGGACGGCGGGTTGACGTGAGCAACGCGCGTACCATAAACAGACGACCTCATCGGGGGATTCAAGGATGCACAGGTTTATACTCTCGGGTGTGGGATCCAATCTGGACTCGTTGAATTTCGGAACCTCCCATCAGCATTTCGTACGTCAGCGATGCTGGCGTCGCACAAAATCTGGTCGTGGACTACAGGGATCGACAGTCACTCATGTGTTCAAACGGTGTTGACTGTATGCCTGTATTGCCAAGCTCGAGCACTGAATCATGCACATGATGCGTGCTTCCGAGGAGGGCTGTGAATGAATGCTGTCTTACCAACAACCAATCAGATCTTCTCCCACTTTAGATTAACACTCGCTCTCACCTCCAGCGGAGATAAGCGTATAAACCCACGGCTTTAGATTCGAAACCTTTCGGGGTGAAAATTTGCATAAAACGACTTCGTGGATCGAAACAAAGGTTGTTCAAAAGCTCAACAAATGTGCTAGCGAGGGATGTATCACATGTCATCACGCCGAACAAGAATTGCTAGACTTCATCACAATGGGGTGACACAAAACGGCGGAATCTTCGTCCGATTGGGGTTGACAATACGAAAGACTTTTTACCCAAGAAACCTAGATAACCCAGTCACCTGGTTCGCAGCTTCCCTTTCGTAGTCGCACTCCTCACCCAGTTCTTCCCTCGCTACCTGATAAGCGCGTCACGGCCGAGGCAACCGCGGAGAAACGTTCAAGGTGGGCAAGCCCGATGTGACGAATGCAGTGGGTGCAGAAACAACACTTCGACGTTGTTGCATCGCGTACGATCAAAATCATGACAAGGCTCATGGCAGGTTTGGGGCAGGATTGAAAGCGCGGTACATCGTTGGGCTCGAACAGAAACTTCGCAATGTATCCCGTTGTGCAAGGTCGAGCTCATCTACAACCACCAACACATGTGACGGTGGGAAGACGCCAAACTGTAAAGCATGAACCACAAATCAATCAAAGCAGGGTTCGTTGAAGTGCAAGGCGACCCCGTCGAAATTTGCGCAGGGTGCGAACACTCACAAGTAAAGCAACCAATCGCTGAACAACGCCACGTAAAACACGCACCCTGATGATCTCCTCGATATAGAGTCCGGGTGGGATTATGTTAGTCAGCTGCACCAGCCGCTGCAAGTTCTTCAGATCCGACTCGACGCTATCCGCTACCCCCGGATACTGAATCTTCATCGCCACCTCTGTTCCGTCCGGCAGCTTGGCTCTGTGCACCTGTCACGAGTAATGCATCGAACAAAAGCGGGTGAGCTCGAAGGAGCGGCGTGTGAACGGGGTAGCGCACGACACTTGAAACAACACGATGGAAGAAAGAGGCACAGCGTGCATCGCGAGGGACGTCAACGCACACAACACGTGACGATGCAGAACGACGCTAACACGATCGTACGCACATGAGGCGGCGACTTCTTTACGGTGGCCGACCGCCGTGCCAGCAAACAGGCGTGTCTCGGCTCAGCGTGCGTTGGCCCGACAGCAAGTTCTCCGTGGTTATCCGTACAACGAAAGTCAACATGTTGTTTACCTACATCTCGTGTGCACACACACACAGACCTTCTTCGTGCGAACCACAGAGAATACCAGGGACAGAAAACGAATGCGGGACGAGAGAGGACGCGGGGCAGCTTCCCCACAAAGGAAAACAGGTAACCTGCCCGCAGATGTCTTGCCCAAGCGACTGCCACTGGAACCGAATACAGTCAAACGCGCCGCCGTTTACATGTCTGTCGCTGAATACAATCTTGCTGGAAAAGAAGAACGATTTTTTCCCCAGGCGTGTCGCGTGCAACATTCTCCCTGCTGGGACGGCCTCACCTGTCCGATGCTCGCCGCTGCGATGGGAGTCTCGTCGAAGGCGGCCAGCTTACTTCTCCAGTTCATGCCGAGGTTCTTTTCTAACTGCCCATGAAGCTGCTTTAATGGCATCACGTCTGCGCCTTGCCTGACTCTGTCGAGAGCTTTGGCTAGAGACGGCGGGATGACGCTCTCGTCCTGCGTTGCCGAAAAGGAAGCCCACCACAAGGTTTCAGGAGGAACAGAGAGATCGTAAGCGCAGGAAGAAGAACACCTCGGCAGAGAAGCACACACCAGGCAGCTCTTGGTAGGCTATCGACAGTGTCGATGGCAAACGTCAACATATTCCGTGGTGTCCATATCCAATAATTTTATTGGCCGCTCTGCGGTGGTACGGCAGTGTGTTGACGGCAGTCGAATCCTGTCGTTCGAAACGCATGACAACGTAGAAATGCCGACCATGAGCGAATTGTTGCCGGCACTACTTGCGACTGTTGGAAAAGTTTTCTAGTGCACCAAATCTGTGCGCTCAACACTTATCGGCATCCTTCACCTGTATGGAGAGCATCTGCCCTAGCTTCAGCGCCGCGCCTCGCATGCGGCAGAGCGTCTCGGCCAGTCGCTCCGCGTTCGCGTCAGATGCAACGTACTGTTTCACAGAACCACCCCCCTGACTTATGTCAGGTCTGCCGCTGCCACCACCTTCAGCATTGTTGCCGGGACCCCCGCCGCCCCGAACAGACTGACGAACAGCCTCCGCTACTGTGCCCATCGCTAGACCGGCGGCAAGCTGACCGAAGCCGAAGACGCGGGCGAGCGGGGAGGAGGGGACTGTGCGCGTCCGGGAGTTGGTCATACCACCACCGGCCGCGGCTTGTGGAACGGCACCGGAAGACCCCCCTCCAAGTCCGACGCCCATCTGGTCAAGATTTAAAGGCAGCGATGAGACAAACGAAGGGGTCTTCGTGGCTGCATGGATACTCTGTACATCGGGTGACAGCGGAAAATAAATCACGAGCGCTGCAAAAATGGTAGCCGGGGCATTGCCAACCATGGTGTACATTTTTCGGCACGACACAAAGGGAACAAAACACGAAGAACCCAAAGTTGCTGCGGCTGCCTGCAAGAAGCTGTCCTACCAGTGGCGTTCACACAAATTCACGTGCGGCATTTCGCGTTTGAGCCACGTACTGATCGCCAGAGAACCGCTGGGTTCTGGCAAAAGCTCCGTATTTTGGTTTCATGAGCATTCTGTGACGCTTCACCCGTTCGCCAGAGTCACTCGCAGCGTGAGCGAAGGCCCATGGTCCGGATTCGTCCGCCTTATTCCTCTTGACCACTTCTGCAGGCTCAGCAGACACTTCTCTAGGCTCTGCAGACACTTCTGCAGGCCTGCTTGGCGGTGGCACCATCGCACTGACTCCTCCAGACTTAGCCAAGAACGCGCCGTTGTCAACGGCACCCGCAGGCTCCTTTTCTATCACAGGTGGCTCCGGCATGGAAGCCTTAAAACTCGGCGGCGTTGCCTCAGCAGGCAATTCCGTCCTTCCAGTGGCTTGTACTGCTACCGGCCCAACTCGGTTGGGGGCGGCGTTCTCTGGAAGCACAGAATTGGCACTCGCTGCTGTTGAAGTTTGGACAACACTCGTGCCACCGTAAGCCGGGGTAGCTGGCTTGGCACCACCGTAGGTCTGCTGGGGAGGAGGCGGTGTCTGGTGTTGCGCGGAGGAAACGGCCAAGGCCGCAGCCTGCGAGGGGAAGGTGGTTGACACGTGCGGGAATGAAGATGAACACACGTGCTGTGGTCCAGAGCATACGACGCGTGTCTCTCACTCGTGTACATTGGAAAGTGGTAAAGATTATTCTCAGGAGGTGAGTACACTATGTTGGGCGGTTCGCAGGCATATGAAATCACTACCTGCGATCATGGCTGCCCTTGGTTGGTTGCTGTGTCTATAGTGTACAGCAGTACATGTACTGCTGTAGTAGTACTGCTGTAGTAGTGTCATCGGATCTCGAGTCAGCGCAGCATGTGACTGTTGCGAGCCGGTGCGAAAGGGTGAGCGTAGCATTAACAAACTACAGCAGCAACGACCTTTCAGCAACTTCGATTTTGTTTGCTCGATGATACAAGTCTACGGCAAACGTAGCACACCCACGTACGTTCTTCAGGCTGGAAGCCAGTCCACTGCCGTGTTGCTTCCATTGACGCGCTTGGCGTGCGGCAACGGGCCCCTCGGCCTGCAGCAAAGCTTTGGCCACTATCCCGGCCCCCTTGGCGACTCTCGCCAAGTCTCCTCCTGCAACCATGGCCGCCTCCTACACGATGGCGGAGTTCTCTTGCGTTGTAGTGCCGTGCGAGCTCTGAAAAGGTCAAACAAAGGCAACTTGCTTGCTGTGCTGCGTGTGTGGCAAGCAAAGGCTATGACATATAATATACCATATAGCCTTTGGTGGCAAGTCTCGAGAAGGACGGGGCCCCGTACGATGAATGCCAGCCCTGCTGTACGACCTTTGAGGGGAGTTGCGCGCTAAGCCCAATCGAACCTCGAACCTTGACACTGGACCAGGGCAGGCTGAGGCGGGAACTCAAAGTGCGCGGGGCACATGAGAGAATACACACATAAACGTGTGCTGAACTACACTATACCGAGCGGTTCAGGGAGCCACGCGCACTGACTGGTGGGTTATTTTCGGCGTTCTGTGTGCTGCTTGCGGTAGTTCCACAACTCGGGACTGTCAGCTTCGACTGCCTGACGCTCCGGCTGTGTGCACCTTGGTACTTGATGGTACTTGCTGCTGTTTGTGGACAGCTTGTCACAAATGATTAAGAAACCGACACGAGGTCGATGGATACATGCACCCACTTGGTCGAAGTGGATTCTTTCGTCGAAGTGGATTCTTTCGTTCACGTGGGGATAAGCCAGAGTGCCATAGGTTGCGTTGAATTTCAGGCTCATGCGTTGCGAAGGTTTTGCCCCAACGGTCGCGCGGAACGTTTGCATATACAGAACACGATCTTGGAGATGCCATGTTGTGCTGTTGTTGCCACACTGGGACTTTCCTTTATGCCTGCCTGTCGCACCGGAGCCTAGGCCAGTGGTAGTAGTCCCCGAGGAGGTAGAGGTCTAGGCCGTTTCGGGGGGCGAGCATCCTCATCCTCGCTACAATGTGGCTGCATTTGTGGAATTTAGAATACAAAAGTAGGCGGTACAACTATTCGGTCGAACACACTCCCGCCGTTGTGCTCCAACACCCCACATCAATTAGCACATCAATTAGGGAGGCCAGCCTCGACAACGTTACTGGCCAGCAGGTGTGAAGACCTTCCCGTGCTATCGGCGACACCAGCAGTTTATGCCCGTGTCGTTGATGAACCGTACTTCAACACCATTCCTTCTTTGTTCACCACGCCTACCGCTCGAATATGCGATGAAGGTACACAACCATCAACCCTGCTGTGTCTGCGTATCATTGAAACATGTATGCATATTACAGCCGTTGTCCACCAAATCGAGCTGTCCTTGCGGACGTCTGCTTCCTACACAGCCACACTAGAAATTCCCGCCCGGTGTCAGAGATACGAAAAACTCGACACGCCTCCAATACTTGTATCATACAGCAGCAGCAGTGGATATCAACAGGGGCACGACCACTGCTGTATTGACACTGGCACGTGAGAAGCCGTCGTCAGGATCAAACCAGAATGCACTTTGCGGAGACGTCAGCAGCAGAGAGCTTACAGGATCCATGTTCGCCGGGTGCCGTCGACCACAGAGTGTACGGCACCATCCTTGTCTCACCCACTTACACGGATACCGGCCCAAACCGACCGTTCGTGCCCGCACACGTCCTAGAATTCCTCCAGAAGCTTTCGTGGAACCCCAACCAGCTCGTACTTGTGGAGATCTGCGCTTTTTAGAGGCCATATCAGTTCGCGGGTTCACGCTCGGTGAAGAACGACTTTTGCCCAGGAATTATACGAAAATACACGCACGCTCTAGGCACGCACTCCGGGCAACGACCGAGGCTTGGCCATCGTACGTATCAGGGAGGGTGACAATGGCGTATTGAGAACCTAGTGCCCAATAATTACAAATGTCCTCGCTGGTCTAAGGAGGCAGATAACTGAGGCTTTGAATACACGCGCCACGATATGAGGTCTGCCCACACAGGGCGTTTCGTTCTACAGCAGTGGCTCAGCCCTGGTGTATGGTTGAAGTTCAGCGAAAATGGAAAGTTATTGCTAAGCTGCGTGTTCGACTGGGTCGTGCCGCCAATTTGTTGTCGTTTGTTTTGTCGGATCATGGATGGTGTTTGGGAAGCATGGGTACGTCTTGGCCAGAAAGGAACATTTTGGACTTGTGCACCGTAGTCGAGTGGCGGATCCACACACTCAATATGCATGACTGGCTTACGCCGCAATGTTTTTCATACATGAGTAAATTTCGTTTTGCTTAAGTTTTTTTCTATTGCTTGCTTCGTACAAGCGATTGGCGGAAACAGCGCATAGAGGCGGCTTGTGGAGGATTGAAACAGGTTGCGCTTTGCTATCTATAATACGCGTTTGCAAGGCGTGCTTATTCGTTGACCAGTACGACGTAGTGGTGTTTTGTCTGATGGGCGCCTTGCCTGTACCAGACCATGGTAGAATTTTTCACGAGGTATTTAGACTGTGGAACAGGCAAGGCGCCCGTATTTCTGGCGAACACACACATCGATTGCATTTTTTGGCTAAACTCCAGTTTCATAACATGTCAATTGTGACTGAAGGCCAGCGATATTCACTCTTCCGGAGGCGCGTCCACTCCTGTACACCACACTTCGGGTTGCTATTGCTGGCCGTGCTTTAGCGTTTGAAAGTCCCGGGTCTCTTAGAAACTTCCTGCTCGAGATTTAAAAAGCGGTTGAATCTATAGGACGACGCCACGCATCAGAACTACATAAGTTTGGAACGCTTTTTAGGTGTTGCTTGCACTCTTTTGCCATCAGTCTAGCCAGCAACCAACCAGGTGGAAAAGCAGGTCGACTGTGAAGGAAAATGGCCATAAAAGTCGAACACCAAAATTGCTTGGTTGACCTGTAAGCCCAGCCATCTAACCAAAGCCTCAAGGGCCTGCAGATCAAGGCCTTCTCTGTTGGGGAGTAGTGGCGGCAGGCAGGTGTTTTCTGTATCCCGGCAGCAGCATTGGTGAATTGGTGATGACAGGCAACACCTCCATATCCAGCGGATGCAACGGATTGTTTTTCTGCCATCAATTACACATCTCTGAAAGCAAGCAGCTTTGAGGATAAAAGCCACCCGCTCTAGGTGACCAAGGAACTGGTTACTTTGCTGGCGTCATATTGGTGTGTCTCGGTGCGGTTAGCTCGGGCAGGTATACCATGTATGTCTGATCCCTTGTCTGTGATGCAATATTTTACGCGGTGCACAAGGAAGTCTCTCGTGATTTGGTTGATTTTGTCATTCTCCATCTCGAAGATCAGGGACCCTTTTTTTGAATCAACTCCTGTGTGTTTTGCGGGCCATTTTCACCCGGAATAGTACTCAACGATGCTGACGGATGCCCATGGTTCCGGGTAATTGCCTTTCATGCTCCTCATCTGCCGATGTGGTTATATGAGTCTTTTTAGCCAGCGCCACGCCATACGTCCGCAGGGTACAGCGGGCGAGAAAAGCAAGCATTTACCAGGGACATGGCAATTTTTGTAACAGCGGGTGGGATATCGGAATAGGCCCCCCAGCCTCGACGTTGTTGTGGCGGGTATTCCACATCTCCCCTGCAATTGATTGCCATCTTAGGAAACATATCCCGGCCAACGTTTTTTCGTTGCTCCATGTTACCATCCCGGGGAATCACACGGGAATGGTTTGTTGGGCCCCACAACCAATTCTCGAACAACTCCGAGATGTGCGACCGTGGTGATTGTAATCCTATACCTGTATCCCGGTCCTTCAGTGAAACGCCGAGTTTGATCTGTATAGGGTTTCGTACATTTCCTGAGCGATATCATTCGACACTACGCGTGAACCCGCTACGTACGTGGCCTCTGAAGAACGCAAATCTCCTCCAGCACAAGCTCGTTTGACTCCAGCAAACGGGCGAGATCTTTCGACAACTAATTGTATGTGCCCTCTGGTGTGTTGCGACTATATGGGGTGTGGACAGAACAGGTTAGGAACACGGTGTAGAAGTTGTCTGTGGGGTGTTCTTAGCACATGCACCGTACCCTACCAGGCGTCATCTACCTTTCTATCAAAGTTCATTCTCGCAGGATCCCTCCTGTGTGTTTTTGGCGCCAGTTTGTTTCCAGGTGACCCCTCCCCACCCACCCACGCATGCAACAGCAATAACAAAGGTATCCGCCACGAGCGTAGCAGCTGTGTTCATGCTCCGTTCTTGTGTGGTGATTGATACAGACCGGGAGGCTGTAGGACGCTCAGATTTTGTGAGCGCGAGAGTCTGGGACAGCCTGAAAAATCTTAGTGCATGGGTGCCCCTAGGGCGGTTTGGCAAAACTGTAGAAAGTGTGGGAGAACCTCCCTTTAAGAGCGACGCCAAGGGGGCGCTGTTCTCATTGACTCCTTTTAAATCATACCATATGCAGAGGCGGACCACTGATGGAGGGGAAACTGGAAAAGGAAAAAAATGAGAGGGAAGCACCAAGACACGTAGGAAGGTAGATACCAAAGAGCGAAAAAAACGGAAAATCTCTGTAATAAGACAGGCTGTAGTTTGTTGCAGGGCTCTCTTCTTCTATGGAGAACGTGGTGAATAATGGTTTTACGACCCCACCACTTCCGATAAGATTTAGTACCCGTCGTTGTCGCAGCACCAAACTTCGTCAGACGTGTGGTGGCTACAACGCTAGGCATTCCGACGCAACGCATGCTGTGTGGCCTGAAAAAATAAACGGCGCATAAAGGAACCGGACGCTATAGGGTCAAAAATATTGACGGAGGGGAAAATGGAAAGGAAACAAAAAGAGACGGAAGCACAACTGTGACTTTTTTGTATATACACCGCGTTGCGGTCTTTCTTGCGTCCTGTCAGTTACAAAGAGCGTGTTCCATTTTGTTTTCTCTTTTTGGTACTTTCCTGCGTGTCTTTGTGCCTCTAGGCTTCACCAAGCGTGTGTAGCTTCTTTCTGGGTTCACACATGTATGCCCGTTGCGCAGAGTCGAACCCTGAAGTCCCTGTGTGCCTTCTCCCATTTCGGGTGGGTTTTGTTCATCTCGTTCTTCCTCGGCGATGCCACCTTCCCAGCTGCTGTCAACAACGCCGGTCGTGATCTTGCGCCTGGCGTTGTTGACTGCAGCTGGGAAGGAGTCATCGCCGAGGAAGAAGGCGATGAACAAAACCCACTCGAAATGGGAGAAGGCACATGGGTACCGCCCTGTTTCGTGGTTCGATTTTGCGCAACTGGCACACGAACGTATTGCAAGGATTGTTCCCAAGATGAATCTGTTGACAACGGTTGGCTTCTACGTTGGTGAGGTTTTTTCGTCATGTCTACCGCTTGCAGCTGCCTGCACGTGTTCGCCACAACGCCAAGACCATACGTGCACCGTCGACAAGTGTACTCATGCCAGAGTATGACGACAGCACGTAAAGCTTTTGTACACGCCGTTGGCGCAGCACCGAACTTCGTCAGACATGTGGTGGCCACAACGCTTGGCATGCCGTCGCAACGTGTACAGGACAAAGATTTGATGAGGAGGTTCTGTTGGGAGATCAACGATTTCGGAGGACAGCATCATCTTGGTTAGGTAGATTACTGTAGTTCGATTTGGATAGATGGGAGAGAAAGGTATGTTGCGCCTGACTCTGCCTATTTTTTTAGAAGGGTGATCCCCCTTCTGCCGTGCGTGGGCCTGCGTCCTCTCTTCACTCAGTAGAAGCACTACCTGAAATGTCGTGCTCGGGCATGAAACGGGCGGCCGTGTGCAGGTGGCCCGTGCTCCCACGTTCGTTGCAGCGAAAAACGCGCTATACCAGGATCGGGCTTCGCCCATTTTCTACGGGTGCGTGCCTGCTGCTCTCGCGGGTGTTTCCATGCTTGTAGCTCACCGTCCAGGCGGGGCGTTCGTGGTCCGCCACAAGGGTATGGCGGCAGCAAATTGGGCAGCCTGTCGACTTTCCTCTGATTTACGGCCGTTCCATGCAGCAAGAATACGGCACAGACCTGAGCAACGAAAACCGGCGTCGCTACAACTGCTTTTTCCTCAGGGTATTGCATATGTTTTGAGGGTTGGGCCCCAGCGAAGGAACCTCCGTTGCTTCTGAAGAACCAATGTTTGCAACGTTTATGTTTTACTCTCAACTGAATCAGTCCCATCCTCAAGGGGTTGCCCTTGAACTCTCTCCTTTGCTCGCGACCACTGGGCTCGTGGACGCCAAGTTGCCGATCAGATCACCCGTGGTCTGTGTGAATTGTACATGTATTTTTTTCCCGCGGTACTCATCTCTGGCCAGGCTGAACTTTTAGCCGCGTTGTGCCGACATACCGAGAGAGGACGTTGCTCTCCCCTTGGCTGGACCCTCTCTACCCTGTATAAAAGTCCCCTAAAAGGCCAAACATATGCGTCAATAGTAGAGGTGTGCTTCCGAACACGGGATATTTCCTCTCTTTGTATCTAGATCTCCCCTGGACCTGAGTTTACGGGCAGCTCATATTCCATTGGGCAGTGAATGGTGGTATATATGCCTGGTCGGCGAATCGATTCCCAACCCCAATGACCTGAAGTCGCTTTTCCCCAACATGATGACAAGGCCTTATTGCGAAGTCACTTGCTGCTGCTCGTTTTGGTTGTTGGCTGCTGTTGCAGAGAAATTCAATTCAGCATCAGGAGCGTGGGCATCGCGTGTTTTGGACCACCCGCCTCCCCTGCACTTACCTCGTTGCTGGATTCATCGTTTTTCTCTGCTTTCACACCAGCAGGATTTGTATATCTCATGTCGGCACGGATGTCCGGGGTGGTCACTAACCAGCCGCAAGAGGTAGGCTTGGGATTTCCTGCGTTCTTCGCCATCGGCATGAGACTCCACCGTGGATACCACGATGGACGCAAAGTGATAGAAGTAGAAGTAGAAAGACGTCTGAGATCTCACTGCTAATGTCTTGTTACAGGCTGTTTCTGGTAGACCTAAATGCACGTATTTAGGCACCTATGGCTGAGCAAACACTAACAACTGCCTTTTGCGTCAGGACTCCTCAGTTTCCACCCAACCATGCGTCCAGGTATGTGTATTGTATCAAACGTGCCTTGTTCAATTCTGTGTCCCGGTGTTCACTCCTGAGCATGTTTTTTCCTCCCGAATATGATTCAGTCGCTTTCCGTTTACGTTCCACAATTGAACGTAGGCCACGCGCAGAAACTTGCTTTCAAGGGAGGTACTCATACGCTGCTGCTTTCGCTTCGTTTCGGCCATGCTTTATGATACAGCTTCTTGGTTACCCACCACCTCCGGGGGCTCCGTCCAAAGATAGCCCACCTCCCCCAGGGGCTCCGCCGGGTGGAGAGTGGGAGGGGGAACGCCACTGTGGGAAGCACACGTGGATCATTGGAGTGTGCCTCCACTGTTGGTGTATTGCTTGCTGCCCCGTTGACACCAGGATGGTGAGTGCGTCAATGTACATGTCTCGAAAAAAAGCATGGCCCATGGAAGCACCTAGTACAGTGTTTCATTGCTAGTTTGGATAAAGTGGAATGTCCGACGTGCTGACGAAAAGTAGTTCGAGAAGAGGCCAAGCTTGCTTTAGGCATGACCATCACACAAATTTGGAATGTGTACTTGAATTATACACCGAAGATTGTTGTACATCACCGCTCACTCCCATACAACATTTTCGCCCAACTTTTGCTCTTCTCACGCCGCAGGTTTATTATGCCGAAGGGAAAAAGTACGGCAGAACCGGGGTAGTGAAGTTTGATGCCGGGGTCTATGACTCCGACGATGACTGAACAGTGACTGCCTTTGTCCGTACGGATACGCTGCTCGGTCAGATACGCTCTTGGTGTAACATGGTGGCTTTTTTGTTCTGTGTGTCTGTTTGCATGTGGCAACCGTTGTCGGCCCGGGCGGAAGTGGCTGCGGCGGTGGTATCTCTCGAAGCTACCGAACGCACGGCGCTTGTGTCTCAGCTTTGTTTGACGTGCATGTATCAGTAAGAGGGGATCAACGTTTGCTGTTCAATTTCGATGTAACGGCCATGGAGTACATGAAATCGATATTCCAAGTGGACCCTGGCCTCTTCAGGACATGCCGGCTGGGTTTTGTGACATGGTTGTTTTTCATGTGTTTTTCCCTCGGAGGTGCCTCAGCAGCATGGTCCTTGCTGCCGTACCAAAGGGCGACCGATGTTTGGGCATCGTACTCTGTCAAAGATAATCGTACGTTGACTGCGGATGATGTGCACGGAGCACGGGGCGGGCGTGTTTGTAGCGATTCGTGTTGGTCGGCGCTTGAACCAACATCGCCAAACTTACATACATGTGCTGTGATGTCCGTTGCCGGCATAAGCTACACACACAGAAGTGGAATCAAGCACACACACACATTAAGACTGGCGTCTTTTCGTTGGTCAGCCGGTTAGCGCGGTCGATGCTAATAATAAAGACACCCACACATTTGCGTGGAAACATTTGGATTGCAATATGTTATCAGGAAATCTACGGATCGGAGTTGTTCTTGGAGGAAGCGTAGAAACAGGCAGGGATATATTAGCCGCACATCACACAGGCGCTCCACTCCGCGGGTTATTTCTTTTGGGAGAACCGAGATTGTTCACCGCGCAGCAAATTTATACCTCAACCAAAACTCTTGTTCGGAGGTCTAAACCATGCGAGTCTTGTTGTAGAGCCCCGTGTCACCAGCAGCCGCCCCACTGCCCACCTCGCCCGCAAGCGGAAGCTTCGTTGGTACTTCCTGAGTACGTCTAGTGCCAATGCGTTCCACCATCATCTCAGTTTCAAAACAACGCAGTTTCTCATATGGCATTAGTCATCCTGTTACCCGAAAATAATCGAGAACTATGCACGTCGCGTACCTGACGGTACCTACACGCCATGGACCTCTCGCGACGCGCCGAGTCGAGTTGGGCCCGCTCGGCATACGTCTGCTTTCCGTCCAACGGGCTGGTTGGTCAAAGTATGAAGTCTTTCCATCGTGTGCGCACAATGAATTTCACTTTTCTGCGAGGAAATTCAAAAATGTTTTTGACCAACCAGCCGGTTGGATGGAAAGCAGACGTATGTCGAGCGGGCCCAACTCGGCTCTGCGCGTCGCGAGAGGTCCACGGCGTGTAGGTACCGCCAGGTACGCGACGCGCAGGGTTGTCGATTAATTACGGGTAAAAGGACAAAGAAACACGGATGATGATAATGCCATGCCATGTGTAATATTGTGAGCAAATAAATGCTTTTCCTCGCAGAAAAAAAGTGAAATTCAATGTCCGCACACGATGTAAAGACTTCATTCATACTGACAGCAGCAGGCTATTGTTTCTTGCGCAAAGCGGTGTAAAATGTCTATTTAGCATCTTTTATCTAAAGTGGTAGACTCTTTCAATAGGTACGTGATATTCTGTCTCTGACTCTTTTCTATGATAGAGATGGACTCGTTGTGTCACATTAATAAGAAAAAAAAAAAAATAGTCTACAAGTCGGTCGGGGTATTTATTGAACGAAGATCATCCGCAAAATTCGCTCACACACTTTCATTTCCCTTTTCCCTAACCCTTTCGCACACGCAGCAGGAGTGACGAGCGAAGGCGATCTCGAAAGGAGCCCATGGCACTTTCACGATGCAGCCTCGCCACCCTCTCGTTACTGGCGAGTGCTTTGCTGCCAGCGGAAGCGCTGACGGTAGAGGCTGGCACGATTGTCGGCGTGTCGGTCGATGCGCCTGTGTTCGACACGCGCTCTAGCGCACCCTACGGCTGCCCGCCCGTCGGTTGTCTGGGTGAGAACACCAGGGTGAGTGCCAGCTGGGAGTCTAAGCGCGCAAGGCATCTGCTGTTTGGATGCGTTTCCCTCCGCCCGATGTTTTACAGTAGACTACAGCTGTGGTATGTATTCAGCCATCCCCGTGCTAGAACCCGCCAGTCTCTACTGTAGAACCAACCCACTTTCAGCCTCTCGTCGCGTTGTCTTATTGGTTCCTCAGGAGCACGAGCAGCGCACACTGGTGTGCTTTTATCGGTGGCACCAGTGTGTTCACTGGACATAGAGTCTTTTCAGAGTCACACACGGGCACATACCCCTACACCTTGTTGCCAATGTATGCTATGGATACGGTTGGCTGTAGAGGCCGGGCCCAGCCTGATGAAACTGTTCATATTCGACCAACTTGACGCTGATCATGCATGCACCATATATATACAGGACGGCAGCACGAGCAGTGAATCGCGCTGGTCTTGCGAGCCTTCGCTCGACCCCTCCGGCTCTGGCTGCGGCATCACCTACACGCTGGGAGAAGAGCAGTACATCGAAGAACTCCAGATAGGTGAGGTTCCAGATTCCAACCTAATATCTGCACCGGCTGCAGCGCCGTCGGTATTATCGTTTTCGTTTGGGCTCGCAAAAGCGGGGTAATTGAAAGAATGTGTACAGACAGGGTAGATAGACCATGCAGTACCCCAAGTACCCCGTACAGAGCGTGAGGGTAGAGCGGGTAGATTCGGTTCCGCAACATCCGCCTGCGTCCTAATGAGGGCCACTCGTGTTGCCGACTATAAAAAAAATGCAGGGATGTTGACGGTGTGGAACCGCACCGCGGTGCGGATTCTTGTTTCTTGACACGGTCACGCTGTGCGGTGCGGCGCGGTTTTTTTCATCTCGATATTTGACAGGACAGCGGCTACATTCCTCACTTGCTTCTACTACTGTCGTTGGAATATGCCAGAAAAAATTGGGGAAAAAATCTGGCAGCACCACTAGGTGGCTGATGCTCGCCATTGGCTACAACCAGATGGCGGTGTGTCTGTGTGGTGTGGGGACACGGTGTTGCCTTTGTGCTGGTTTAATAGAAAAAATAAACGATGTTCCTGGTGTGTGTCCGCACGACACAACCGTGCCTTAGCTGCGGTGTTTACCGCGGTTTACTGCGGTTTTGGCTACGGGGTAGGAAAAACCGCACCGTGATAAAACCGCAACTACGGTTTTTTGTGAATCCTTACGGTGCGGTGCGGTGCGGTGCGGTGCGGTTTTGTCGTTCCACGGTGCGGTGCGGCGCGGTTTTGTGCACCTCGATATTTCACGGTGCGGTGCGTTGCGGTGCGTTGCGGTGCGTTGCGGTGCGTTTTTATTTCATCTCGAAATGCGACGGTGCGGTACGGTGCGGTTTAACCGCACCGCACCGTCGAGAAAAAACGCACCGTGAACATCCCTGAAAAAATGCCATCTAGTCTACATACTTCTTTGTTTTTTTTTATGCACACGTTACAAATCGTGTGGAATCACATCCGGAACCAGTCTGCGAGGGACTCTTAGATTTTCTGCTACAACTCTCGCCGTAGTGCTGATCCACATCATGCACATCACCTACGCGTCGCCCACATGCAAAGACACACACACACCAATTTTGGTTTGGTTCACCCTCTTTCTCAGGCCAGCGCCGTTTCGGTCCATTGCGTGCTTCCATGGCTTGGATTTTGATGATTTTATTGGAGGTAGACGCATGATCGCTCTGGAGGCCTCTCTGCTGACTACTGGAGTTTAGACTTGAAATTGGGGCGACTTTCGCAGGCCAACTGCGGTCGCTGCAGTGAGTGGTGATCCCAAACCTTGTACATCATGGATGTATTCGTTCCATGGCCTTCTATCTCTACTATGGCCAAGCATCGGCCAAATTGGGGAACCGTAGCGTTCAGGCCACCCTGGGTGAAAGTTGCTTCCCAAGAGCTGAACAGGTTGCGCGCAGCAGCAGAAAGCTGGTTCAATTCAGATGTGGTCGTGAGGCATTTCTAGCGTCCAAGCAAATCAAAGGGTAAACACAGCTTTATTTCCGATGTAGGGTATGACATACTTGCCCGTGTACTTTGGCGGCACGTCGAGGTCTGTGTGAGGAGCACGAGGTGGCGAAAGAACTGGGCTCAGCCATGCTCAAGCTGGGGAGGGGATGAAACCAAATGGATGACCCCGCTGAACCGGGGTCTCCCACACTTTATGTAACTTTCCCAAACGACTCATGGGACTTCCATGGGTCATCCATGGGTCACCCACGGGCCTCCAATGGGCACCCCGTTAGGCCCATGGGCAACCCATGGGAAGCCCATGAGCGGCCAATGAGAGCCCTTCAACCGAACCAGTGTACTCGTAAAAGAGAGAATATCTGCTTTGGAACGGGCACTATAACGCTAATACCTAACGCTAACCCAACCCCTAACCCCAAGCCCACACGATACGTGCTAGGTTGGCGCTGGTGGCTAAAGTTCTAGGTTGATATGCCGGTGGCGGAGCTCTAGGTTGAAGTGCCCACGGTGGGCACTTGATGGGCCGCCTGTGGGCCGTTCATGGGCATGCCCATGGGTCACCCATGGGCGGCCCATGGGCGGCCCATGGGTGGCCCATGGGCAGCCCATGATGAGCCCTGAAGAGCCCATGAATGACCCATGGGAGTCCCATGGGCGGTTTAGCAAAACTGTCAGTAGTGTGGGAAATTGCTGAACCGGGGGCGTGAATTTTTGTCCGTGCTTGTTTTCAATTTCCTCAAGGGCGGCAACACGTGTGGGGTGCCCCCTGTCAGACAAGTTTTCCGTACAGGACCCAAAAATCACAATCGATTGTGTCACTGATTTAACACCAGCAGTATAATCGGGCACCCCGCCCCCCCCTCCGCGCGAGATGCATCGAAGCTAAAATGACAGTAGTACCGTGTGTATGATGTCGGAGAGGAGAGGTTGCCGAGAAAAGCCTCGCAGGCGAAGTAGGCAAACAAGATAATGGGTAGATAGATGACGAAAAAAGAAGTTCGAAGTCGAACAATATTGGAAACGGTAGGCATGGAGGGGTTCAAGAAAAACGCATGCGTTGCTTTTGCCGAGAGAGAAGAACATAATCTAACCAAAGACACCAAGGATAAGGAGGGGGTAGATGTGTGCGGAATGTTGAAAGAAGGGATAGGGTTCAAGGATTACCTACTACATGAGAACCAATTGCTGCAGGGACAAAGCTGAAGGTCAAATTTAGGACTGGGGACAAGGTCTTCGAGAACGTAGACGAAGATTTCGGAAGGTAAACGATGACGACAACTTAACATAAATGTGAATGCGACTCCGAGTGCGAAGGCCGAGTTGATTTAGTTGCGGAATGTCCGTTGTACGACAAGTAGAGAGAAATGTACATGACTGAGCTGGGAAAAGTAGAAGGACGATACAGAGACGTAATTGAGGCATGGAATAACCTGGAGAAGACGGTAGCTGTACTGGGGCAGAGGAAGTGGGTTGAAGAGGCGGGAAGTGATACCGAAAGGATAGACGGGTTCGGAAAACATTTTTGGGGCACCTTTGGCAAAGTAGGAAGGAACGATTGGCCATCGGTGATCGGTCCTGTGGGAACAGTGCTCCGTCCCCTCGAGTACGCGTAGTCAATGGTCTAACCGCTAAGGCACGCAAAACATGAGAACGCCCCCCCCCCTCCCCCCCCCTCCGTGCGTACAGTCGACATTTCACGCGGTGCCCCCACCACTCCCGCCCCGATGTGAAAGTAACTGCTGATGTTGGGGTCACCCCCCACCATCCTGCATGCTTGTCTTGCAGCTGCCGTGCTTTGGGGCTCCGTTCTTGTCTGTAGGCGCATTGGTACACCACAAAGGCGGGTTGTTGTTCTTAATACCTCGCGGGGCCGATCACCTGTTCTTTAATGGACATGTTTTTAAATTTTGGATTCTCTGAGGGTCACGTTCTTAACTGCTAAGTTCTTAAGTGGTGGCGCGTTCTGTATCGAACTGGTAAATACGTTTGTTGTTTTATGTTGCTCATGAATCTGGAGTTCTTATTATTTCAAGGCTACCCTTTTCTGGAGCTAGGGCGCTTACCTCCCGGGGGCGACGCAAGAACACACAGCCAATGTCATTGCGGTCCCATCGTTACATCTCAACGTCACGATGGTAGTGAGTGCCGATATTTCGTACAGCCTGCAGAATTTGACTGGAATTTGCATCATTTACTGGGTATTTTTCTTTATCCCCGTCACTTTTCGCGTGCGCGTGAGTGCGTGCTTTAAGACTAGTGACGTCTTCCTGCAGGTCCTACTGCTGCAACCCGCTGCGTTTGATCACTCACTCTTACGCATTCGTGTTGCCCATGGTCTGTCGGACTTGTGTGCGTTGCGCAGGAACGAAAACAAAGTCTTCCTGTTTTATGCAACACGGGTTTTCTTGTATTTCTCGCGAATACTTTCTTCGCGTGGAACATGTCCCCGGGGTATAGAACCAGTTTTTTCAACTTTGGACGTCAAGTACACGCGCCACGGGGGACTGTCGGTCCTCGGGCGTTCATAGCAATGTACCGACGACACCCCTGGGTGACCCTGAGAAGGAAGCGTGAGAAAAGAATCGCTTCCGCCAGGGATATATATATATCCGGAAGCACAAAAGCAGGCGAAGTGATACATCTACATGCAAGCTTCCCCTCCGGGACGTGGTCTCCCGGGAGTACATCCAGGGGGGTGATGCCAAGAGCTCAGTTCATAGTTTAATGTGTGCTGAAGTCCTTTGTCTGTGATTGAAAGGGCATTGTTGGACGCACACGTTATAACACGTTGCCGAAGAGTTTCAAACGAGAAACTTCCTTGGTCGTTGGTTGCCACCATAAATGATGGTTCCTCCCCCAAAACGAGTTCAACGATGTTGACACCCTATTAGTGTATTAGGTCCACGGGCCTTCTCTGGGTACCTGCCGCACACGATACCTAGCGGGCAACTGCAAGTTTACTTCTCTGCAGCTACAAACACCTGAGCGCGGGACAGCACCTTAACCATTACCCAAACGTTCAGAGTATACGATCCAAGGGCGCGAGAGGGAATCGCTCCTCTGTGCGCACGACGTCACCGAGGTTAGTGCTCCTAATGTCAAAGGTCGCGGAAACGGACATGCTCTGACCGTCCGGGGTGCCAGCACTGGGGAAGTGGCTCGCTGCTGCGCTCCTGGTGGACTTGAAGGCACTGGCGGGTTGCTGGTTCGCGTCGTGGCGACTTTGATGTCGGCAAGGACGTCCTTCACCTCTAGGCGGACACGACATACCAGGGTTCGATGGTCCAGGCCGCGACCATCTGAGTTCCGGTATCCCTTCGACGGCGTGGGTTCCAGGGCAAGAACACGAACCATGAGAACAGTGTTGATGTTTGAAGCAAGAACTGCAGTGGCACCTACACACCCCTCTCTCAGTCGATCTTCGGACTCTTTTCCAAGGCACGCACACAGCACACAGCGCGAGTACGCAGAACAGGAGAGTGGCGCACGTCTTCAACAGCGGATGGGGGGGGGGTTGTCCGTAATAAACCGGCCGCGCCAGATTCCAGATTTGGCTGATGCGGGTGGACGAAAAACAATTGATCGATGGGTAGCAGGCAGTTACGTCTGCTTTTGATATCCACAACAACGACACACGGCCACCTCACGTACAAAGCACTAAGGGGTTGTTGGCAATCGCTTAGGGTGAGCAGTACAGGGTTGTGAACCCTAAAAGGCGGTTTAGCAAAACCGCAGAAAGTGTGGGAGACCCGCTTGTGTAGAGCCAACCCGAAAACAACAAATAATCCAATTTGGATTTCGATTTTTGATGCACATATTTTTTGACAAGGGCCACCCACAGTTGAACCCGAGTCCTATCATGACGGAAGGTCGATACTATTTCTTTCTCATCTTTTGTTTTCGTTGCCACCGTTATGTTTTTAGTTACATGGGCGCACGCGCGCACAGGTGAGGAACTGCTGTATACCTATGCTCATGAACGTTTGGGATAAATACAAAAATCGCATTTCTTAATATTTAGTGTGCAATGCACAGTAGAGAGCTGTACCCACGAACACAAACGCTCACCCCACAAAGTTCTATTCCGTCTCTTTTGCGGGAAGGCGTTCTCCCTTAGACTTCCTGAAATCCTTTCTAAACTCCAGTCCGTCGTTGCTGTACTATGCTGTTAGACTTGTATGCTTCACCGGATGCGGCCCGGTCTCTTTCATGGGGAGGTTAGTCTTTGTTTGATTCCTGGTTTCTTTTTAACTCATGTGTGCTAGACTAGTAGTCTACCTGGTATGTGTGTACATATGAAAATACCAAAAAACTACAGATAGGTGTTGTCTAGACTTGGACCTTGGTTGGTACGGAGGCACGAACAACAGCAGGCCGTACGTGATCAACTCGTGCCGATGCGTTGGGGCCGCTGAAACGACGAAACAATTGTTTCCACCGAATCGGACATGGCTCGTTTTCGAAAATATCTGACGAGTGTACTTGGCCGGAATATTCCATAGCGGGTTCTCAGCAGGCATGCAATCTTAGTCCGCGAGGCAGGGCATGTAAAAGGTGGCACCGATACTCTGCTGCGTCGGTCGGGCAATATTCTGTCCGCTTTACCCGCCAGTCATTCTGCCCCCCACTTTATCCCTACGTCTCCTCACTGTAGCGCCAAGGTGTCGTTCTCTTTCCTCGCTGCTGAAATGGAGTCCAGACAGCTCTTTCCGTTGTGCACAGGGTCGTTTGCGGTTGGCTATCAACACGCGGTGATAATCCTCCCAGGGCCCAACCCTTGCCTGGACCCCACTGTGCTCCCTCCCACATGTTTGCCGATTTATTTTCTACAACAGCAGGCCTGTCGGGTCGCCCGTTCGGCTGTGTTCGCAGCGGCTACCGCAAGCACCAGTCGCCCGTACCCGAATGGTGGCTCCGACAAGTATTCAACGGCGTTGCAATGAGTAGTTCTCGCGTGGCAAGGCACCACTGAAGCACATTCTAGTCCGAACACATCTCTGTGATCAACATTTCGCGTTGAGACACGTTCGGCGGGGAAGCGTTTTCTTCCTCTAGCGGATGAAGCAACCAAGACCAAATCATGCCGCCGACGCGAACTGGAGCTCTAAGGAAACACAGACTTCGCAGCCAAACATTCCTGCCTTCACCGATGCGTGAATTATCCCAACTGTACGACCGTGAATGCGTGCACTTCCATCCAAGTGCGGCACCTAACGAGGGTGGCTTCCAGCGAAATATGAACTCCGACATTCCCCCAAGGATCGCTTCCCCTTCACTACTTGCCGGCAGCCTTGTACAAGGGGGACTCCAGGACGAGGACCGTAGACATTTTTGTGGACGGAGTCATGATAATGGAGTGGACCAGCTCGGGAGAAACCGCCGCTTTCGAGACCATTGAGCTCGGTGTCCAAGGGACAGTCATTGGCCTCCATGGAGTGTTGGCCGACTCGGACTGGCTCAGTATCTTGGAGGTTGGTGCCGCTCAAGATATTTCTTCTTCAATCGTTTCCATTGCGCATGGTGCTTATCTCAGAAAGCCATATTAATACATTCAGCATCCGTTCGCCAGGCGATAGGCATGAACTTGACACTCTGCCGTCCCGCTGCAAGGGAAGTCGTTATAGAACCCTTGACTCCAACTCGAGCATTTACACCTTTCTTATTTTGTGCCATGCACCGCGATCGATGCGCAGGTGGGCATTCTTGTCGACGACGGAAATGACGACGGCGTTGCTGTTGTGGAGGCCGGTGAGCTTGGGCCTGTGGCGAGCAGCGCGGAGTTCTACGACCTTCGTCTGGCAGATACCGTCGGATGCGACCCCGCCGGGTGCTCAGCGGCACTGACAAGGGTGCGTCTTGTCCGTACGTTCGTGCTCCGTACCATTGGTAACATCGGGGATTGTTGGGACGGTAGAAAACTATGTAGTTCCAACGCTGTGCACCATGCCGATTTGATCTCTTGTATAATGGTGCCGTTTCCGTGCCATCGGCTTCTCCGAGGAGGCAAACACGCGTGATTTTCGTGCATCGCCGAGCGGTCATGGGCGAAAAATGATGATGTTTTTCGATGTTGGATAATTTGGTCAGCTGTCTCAACAGCCGGCTCCCCAAAAGAGTCGCGTGAAGAAGCATCTTTGTCCCCCACGCCGCCATCCTTGAAGCGACCCGTACCCCTTACTCAGGATGGCAACATGTCCAACGGTTCCAGGTGGTCTTGCGCGCCATTCCTGGGCGGCTCTTGCCGCATTTCGTACAACCTCGGCGCCCCTCGTGACCTATCGGAGCTGCGTGTCGGTATGCCCCCAATGTTATGTTGGATAGATATATTTTGCAACCGCACGTTGGCTTTGCCTACCTACAAGAGACGAGTGTCTCCCGCCAGTACAAAACCTCCCCGGCAGCGATCGCACTTCTGATTGGGTCACCTCCCGCCCGCGAATCATCTGCAACAATCAGCGTTGTACAAGGGCAACACCAGATTGAGGACCATGGAGGTGTCTGTAGACGGCGTTTCGGTCACGACCTGGACCAGCTCGGGAATGACGTCATCCTTTGAGAGCATTGACATATCTGGATATTCGGGAGAAGTTGTTTCAATCACCGGCGTTCAGGGCGATAGGGAGTGGCTCAGTATCATCGAGGTGAGGCTTGTCGTCCTGAGCGGTCGAGCAGTCGTTGAGGCGAGATCAGCGAAAATCTTGCTGAAAATGTACACCATTGACTGCTGTGTGGGCTGTGAATCAGCGTGAGAGTTTGCCCGAGCGCGGCCACTGACGAGGTACAACGCTCGAACGCCAGCATGTCAAGGTATCACTCACGGTCAGGATAACTGCCAGCTTGAAGTGTTGTTCACAAGTTATGCGACGACCCGTGGATGAAATCGCCCTCATCGCTGCCCCTAATCCAAATGATGAATTACCTACACGTGAGAACGGTCCACCCCTGTGTGTTGGCTCATTCCTGTTCCCGTGCTAACGTTTTCAATGCCGTTCCCTATTTCGGAATAGACGGAGATCATGGTGCTGTCCGACGGCGACGATGTGGTTCAGACGCCCGGTCCCACCGACGGGCACGAGGCCATTCCGACGCCCAGTCCCACCACCACCATCACCACCACCACCACTCCTACTCCAGTCCTGCCTCCCACCACTGGTACGTCTTGCACGTTGCTCCACCGCGTGTGAAAGAAACCATACGTTGGTGATAAAGTCGTTTTCGTGGAGAAATCGGGTTACCAAAGAGACACCTCTGCAACACCAGCAAGGACTCGTCTTGACGTATCTTAATGCGTTTCTCCCTTTTGGATTCTGTGAGTTCTTCTTTCGGGCAGGGACGTTCTTGGGCGTGTGCGGCAGCGGCCGCCGGTAGCTTCTATCGCCGAGCTCTTCACTGCGTGGCACCACCAACAAGTACGTTTTGTAGCCACCCCATAATCTTGCTATTCCGCTCGGCGAACGGCAGTGAACCCGTGCTTGGACCCGCTCCACGCGGACTACGCTTGCCAGGGGGGAGAGGACGACGGACTGTATCCTCCACCGGACAGCGTGTGAGTTGGTATGCTGGCAATGGAAGCATCGAATGTTGTGAGCGGGGGGGTTGCCGGATTAGAGACACCCAACGGCAATATTTTTGTAGTGAACGTATCGCATGTGGCCGCGTGGGTGAGGGCCTTCGGCTGAAAACACGCATGTGCGTGCGAAGTTCGTAGTACTCCATATGCCGATTTTTCCTAATTGTCCGCGCACCACACCCCTTGGGATTGATTATCCCCGAAGAACATTTGGTTCATCCTCACTCGGCTCAATGATGTCGGTCATGGACCTCGGTTGGTCGGGATGCCTATCTTGGTTTTGTGTTGGCGGTTGTTTGATGACGGTTCATGCCGTGCTTCTATTATTTCGTGTGGAACACCCCAGTGTGCTCACAGACTGCGGTCTAACGGATGCGGACTGGGAAGACATAAAGGCGTGCCTGGTCGTCGCTGGCGAAGAGACTGACACCACGATTACCACATTGTGAGTGCATTCGCGATGTGGAGGAAGCCGTGCCGTTGGCGTTGGCGTTGGCGTTGGCGTTTGCTCGAATCGTTCTTGTTGCTGTAACGACTTGTGGGAGTGTTCTCCATACCAGAAGCGGAAAACCGAAACAGATGTCTTCATTCGCGCCCAGAGGTAGTTCCCACTGCGGAGGGAGATTGAACTAGACATCCACCTTAGGGCAAGGGCGCTACCACCTCAGCATGATGGAAGTATTTCGATTTTTTGCCAATGGGCTTTGCTATCGCTACTCATTGCTAAACAGCATCGCCAATCCAACATGTGGAGAGGCATTGTTTCGTACGCGTTTGGTTGTTGGTCACGCCGAGATTTTATCTTCTTCGGGGATTCGAGGGGCTTCGCCGTAGTGTTTATGGCGGTACAGGGGAACATATTCACGTGATATGTTCCGGCAAGACGAGAAACGGCGAGTATAGTTCACAGTGTAGATATACGAAGTATCCTAGACTCCGTGAAGTTATTCATGACGTGAACCTGTTCAGCTCTTACGGATGCTCTGATCATGACCAGGATAATGTCTGGCAACCCTGACATCACCACTGTTCCGGAGGGCCTGTTTGAGGTATCACCTTCTTTGGCGAGCTCGATGACATGGCTGTGAGTGACATCGCAATTGAAGCAACTATTCAACCGCATGTGTGTTTTATTTTGCCTTCACATTTCCTGTCTTGAAGTTTTGAGGATGGCATTCGCCTCCTTGTTTCCACCCTAAGGCATATCAAAATGCCCTTCTAGACGGCTCCAGTACGACGTTGGTGTCATATTTCTGTGTTGCGCGGACGTTCGACGAACTCCTGTGCACCGCATCGCCCGCTGCCATGTTCATCTCGGTTGGAGTTGCTCACGTTTGCCCAAGCATGCGGCCGGCATACCTGGGGAGCACCTATGGCGCTGGCCGCCAACAAGTTTACCTCTTGAGGCCTTTGAGTAACTGAGTTTCCCCTCCACTGCATTTCGTTTTTGCCGCGCTCTGCTCAAGAACACTGTCTGACACCAAGATTAGCTCTCTACCGCCGGGTCTGTTGGACCCTCTGAGTGAACTGGGATTCTTGTGAGTGAAACGAGAGAGGTTGTGAATAGCTGCAGTGGTTCGCACAGAAATCTTAGACTTCGGTGCGGGGTTAGAAACGATGACCTGAAAACCGCACATTTCAAAATTTGATTGTGACCTTCTGGGGAAGGCTGGTTGCTCCTTGCCCCTCAAAACTTCTAATGCCCTCCACCCCACTTGGGTATGCTCGACACCGTTAGGTCCCTCGAGTACAACGCGTTGACCACCATTCCAGGAGGGATGTTCGACTCGCTGGTGAAGCTGTGGGGATTGTGAGTGTATCGGTCGACGAACGGTTGCAGACGAGGTTTGCTGCGCGCCGGCAATGGCAAAAGGCAGCAGCCCGACCGTACTCGATAGCTGTTCTCACGCGTTTTTTCAATTTGGGCTTGCGGTCCCAGCAGCTTGGCTATTGATGGTGCTTGCGCAAGGCGATGTCAACTGCCAGAGTCCCCATTCTCTGGAGTACTCGGAGTGTGTGGCAAATGCAAAGCTTGAACCGACTAACAGTTGAACCATGACCTGTTCCCGCCGCAGCTTCACTGCTCTAGATCCGTCCACCAACAAGTTTCGACACAGGACTGTTTCATCCTTGGCTATCGAAACCTGTGCAGTTGTGCCGCGTTATTGCACGATTTCGGTTCGCATGCACCTTCTTCCGCTAGCGGCGCCTGAGACTGTTTCCTTGAAGTCGAAGGGACATGCCCAATGTAACTGTTGCGTTCGGGATCGATCGTTCCCGTACATGATAGATCTATTGGCGCCGGGTCAATCGTTTACTACCTTCTGTGATGTTTTCGGGAAAAATATGATGAGACCGAGTTGTGACTGGGCTGACACCTTATATGTTTTGCATGCCGTGTCGGTATTCTCTCGGCGTTGCAAGATTCTTGACCGGCAACGGCTTGTCTGAGCTGCCCGAGGGGATCTTCGACACTCTGGGAGCGCTAGACTGGATGTGAGTCAGCGTTTGCTCGGCGTGTGGTTGTGCAACGGAATGAGTCTAAGGTTTTCGACTTGTTGTGCCTCTTCGGAATTACTGGTCGTTGGCCTCGAAGCCACGCGCACATTCGAGGTGATTGGCGTTGCATCGTATTCCGGCGGACGCTTTGCTGACGTCGCTCTTCGCCAGAGCAGGCAAGCGGCCGATTGCTCTCACTCTTTGTCGCCGACTACTTTGAGCTTTTCGTTCACGTTGTTTGGTGTCCATGGAACCTGTTTTCGGTTCTAATGCTCTCTCCGCCTCCAGCGGCGCTTGAAAAGGTCTACTGGTACTCGGCGGGACATGTAATAAACTGTTTTGGGGAATTCGGGAAATTCGGTTGAACGAAATAGTTGGCCGGAAACGGGCGGTCAAAAAGAAACGGGCCCAACAATATGGGCAACACGCACATTCAGCCACGTACATCATGTAGTTGAGGCATCCGCGGTTGACCAGTCTTTCTCGTAGACAATCGACATCGGCATCCTCAAGTGTTCATTGTTTGGGGTGGGGAGAAAAGGTGCTCTCAACAAAACTTAATAGTTGATGAATATTTCGTGACTTTGGCTGAGATTGGCCCCTTCCCTTCTCGTCTGTCCCTGTTCCGTCTCCCTTTGGCACCGCAAGGCACCTGCAAGAAAATTCATTGACCAGTCTGCCTGTCGGAATCTTCGACAGTCTCCCTAACCTGACTGAACTGTAAGTGGGTCGCCTTGACAGATATGGTGCCATGGGTTTACGACTGCGTGTCGCACGGTTGGCGAGGATGCATCAAGTATCGTTGTCTGGGCCTTGGGCTAGCACCCACGCCAGTTTTCACCCTGCGGTATGTACGGTGATAGTTCAAGGCGGAAGTGAACACAAGCGGACGTAGAAGGAACATCAGTGGTGGCGATCGGTCACCGTTCCTGGAAATTATGGCATTGTCATCACTTGGTGCTCCAGTGCTGTTTCGACTAGTCTAGTGGTCTCGCAAGGCTGCGTGTCAACATTGCCGAAACAAAGATGCAAACGAGTGAGACTAACCCCGACTGTTGTCCCCCTCCGTACCGGCCTCTTCAACACCACAGGTTCCTGTACGACAACAGCTTGAGCAGCCTTCCAGCGGGGGTTTTCGACAATCAAGTGGCACTCTTCTACTTGTGAGTGGTTTTGTGCAGTCGCCTTGCGAGATTGACGGAACGTTACCTCTTGACAGCTGAGCATGTGGTGGAGATAATTCCGCATGTAGGTCGAGGTGAAGCTGTCGGTTTCGCCACTGTTTTTTGACCGATCATAGCGCCCAAATAGAAGGTAATAGTCGATCCCTTTCTGCGCACAAGTAGAGGAAAAACAGGTGCTTGCGATTTACACCCGTTCGCTCTATCCGCAGATGTATGGGTTAGCGCTGCGGGGGCGTATGTGCGAAACATGTTCTGATCTTTTCCCAGCATTCCTTGCGCTTCTTTTTTGAAACCGCCAGAACGGCGGGAGTGTCAACTGCACTAGCCAGATATTTCATGGGCAGATAGATCTCAAGGCTGCATCCGAGATACTGGCCACCGCTACCGCCCGTCACCATGAATATGAAGCCGGCCAGCCTCTTTTACTTGCACTGATATCCATGCCGTCAAAATGGATATCTTCATTGCTAACTGACGTTGGATTTTGGATCGCCCCTGCCCTGCGCTCCTAAAAGATACCTGTACAACAACGACCTTGTGACTCTACCCGCCGACATCTTCGAGGCCCTTGGAGCGCTAGGTGAATTGTGAGTGGAACATCGGTGGGCACGGTTTGGAAGGGCATAGTGAGGTTGACGGTAGGCTGGCAGGAGATTGGAGCAAAGGCTGGGGGTCTGCACGGCATCGCTAGGTATTGACCGCGAAAGTTTCGATGGATTCGATGGCCACTCGTGAGGAAACGATATCAGACCTTTGGGGTTTTCGGCAACGCGATAAAATGTTATGCCCAAGCAGAGACACAGCGTTGTTGCATCAACACAGCACACTGGGAAATCCGCCCGAATTTCCATTCCGAGAAAAGAAGCCGTAGATCCACTTGGCTACAGTGTAGACGCGTCTTTCGCGAGGAAGGTATCGGCTGTGACTGCATGAAGTTGATGGGACACTGTTGCGATAAAGATTTAGAAAGAGTGATCCTTCGCCGGTAATATTGCAATGATTCGTACATTGCAAGTGGTGTGCTTTCCGAAGCAGACTCGTACCTAGACGTAAACTCGGACGATCGACGAGCACGCCCAACGTAAGGCCAGCATCGTTGACGTTCGATTGCCGATGTTCAAGTTTATCCGCCGTCGGAATCTCTAAATGTAGGGATAGAAGGGGATTCGCGGCAGTGCATCGTTCGTGATAAGCGCGTCAAACTTGTGCATATTTTGTAGGATTTCTTGTTAGATAGTATCCCCCACCCCAACTTTGGTGTGCTCGCGCATGATGGAACTGGTGCTTGCCTGTCGTAGGCGCTTGGACGGGAACCCTTCCCTGCAGTGCCTGCCGGCATCGACAGTCATGTGAGTAGAGCCCGGAAGGTCATGTAGCTCAGAGAACATGTCCGCATGGGCCAGCGAGAGGTTTGACAACGTTCGGCGATCACAGGGTTCCTCCACCACTATTAAGATCCATACCGACCATTGCCACACGTGGCATTCGCTCGCTTTGTGCATCGAGAATTTGGGAAACTCTTGCCGGTGTCTTGTCAGGTGCGCCCCACACGTTCCAATGGGTCCTCCTCCCCGTCTACTATAGTACTCCAAATTCCAAACAGTTTCTGAGAAGCGTGTGGAAACCGAATGGATGCAAACCCACACGGTCTGAGGTTTTGAACACGTCACATAGCGCGTTCGGGTACCATCACAGTCGGTCGTTTCTTCACGAGGAAAATATTTTTTCTGGCGAAAACTCCGGGAAACTGATGCTGTTTCATGCCCTTCGTTTCCCGCAACCTTGTACGTATACACGCATCAGGGATGTCCCGTGGGATGGCGGCGTGTCGGCTCCTCCAGTGTGCGGTATGCGGCTTCGTAGGGTGGTTGTTGATGGCATTGAAGGGTGTGGTTTGCATTGCGTCAATAATGCGCTTAGGGGTGATAGCGTTTGACGCCGCGGACATACGTTCGCGCTCACCATGCCCAATGCCTCCTGCCGATCGCTTCTTGTACAAGATGCGAGATCCCGAACTTGACCGCCAACATTAAAAAGTCCGATCCCTACAACGTATCTCCCTTCATTTTACCGACATCTCGGGGAACTAACGGTTTCTCGTTATTGTAGCGGGTGTCTGTCACTTGTGCCAGCATGTTCTACTTTGTCGGCAGAGGGGGATGCAACGTGAATAATGCCAATCAGCTCCGGCCCGACTACTGTGGTTTGGCTCACCCGCTGTGTTTTCGCACAACGAACAATTTTGTGACACCTTTTCCAGGATGCGATCCTATCGACGCCATCACGTGCGCCGACGGGACGACTTGCCAGCCTGGATCCGAAGGCTACACCTGCGGTGAGCAGAACCCCCCGGTTGAGCGCGGGTTTGTGGCCTCGGCGAACAGGCAGTCCTTTTGTGTTGGACGTTCAGCTAGAACGTCGTTTGATGTGTCAACGGCTGCAGTCTGTTGGTCACTGCTGTCACCTTTGGTCATTGGTTCGTGTTTCGCGGGAGAGCAAGCGGCACGTGGAGTGGGAAAGCTTTGCTTTTTGAATCACCTAGCGGCGTCTTCACCACTTTTCCATTCCCTTTCCCGTCGGTGATTGCAACTCGCAGAATAATGAATCGAGCGGTAGCGGCAAAGGGCGACCAAGCCTCCCACGTCGTTGTTCACGCGTGCCGAGGGCGGTAGTTCGAGAAGAGCCGATCGGCGCTGCGTGGACGCTGCAGCAGCAGATAGAGGGATCTCGCAAGTGGCCAAAGAGCATGGCCGCGCCTTGTTTTTCGCAAGGCGTGCAGAGCACAACAACAATGATCATACTCGCCTTGGAAAAATCATGATTTGGCATGCCACGGGTACTGTACTCGTACGTAGACAAAATAGGTGTTAAGCAATAGTATTTTTTTTCTCTGAAACATCGGATGGTACATGTCGGAGAACACATGTTTGTTTTTTAGACAAGTTTAGAGATGGGGATAGCTTTCGTTTGGGCTGCTGGGTCGTCGCTCGACACAAAATGCCGTAGACCATTATTAACTAGGGTATTGAAGGGCCCCGCCGCCCACTGCCGGCGGCGGGGCCCGAATCACAAGCCGAAGGTGGGTGGGGGAGTGAGTAAAACGTGCTCGAAATAACATGGACATTATAGAATGGAATAATAGTGAAAGTGTGTATCAACGGAGGTTAATGTGCGAACAGAAAGAGAGAAATAGGAGATGTCCTTTGGACGTAATGATGTCCAAACATGAGCGTGTGTGCAGCAGTTGATGGGACCGGGCACAACGCGATAATGAAACGCTTCTTGACTAGTTGTGTATGCTGTACATTGTTTCATTGGTGCTGCCTATACGCACGTGCATGGACAGCGTGTATTGTTGCCGTAGATACAGTCAGCGACTCAACAATCCCTGCGTCTTGCACCTCCCCATTCTCTCGGTGTAAAGATGACGAAGAAAATATGTCGGTAACACCTCCTTTGAAGTATAAGCTAATGATGTTGTTCGAAGTATACGCGGAATGCCCAACATATGGCTTATGGGTAGAAACTTCCCAAGGTTCTTCATGGACACAAGGCGTGTGGCTCTCAGGTATCGACTGCACGAACACCAGCATCATCTGGAGGTCAACCTCTGCCTGCAGCGCCAAGGCCCCCATCGGCTTTGCCAACGCATAGAGTCTACATATATGCATCGGACTGTAACCCCTAACGATGGTCACACCGACACGTCGGTTTGATGTTCGTGAAGGCTGTGGCAAAGGCTGCTGTGTGGTTGTTTTCTTCGCCGCTTGATGTACATGAAAAAATAAGAAAATTAGTCTAGAGAATCAGCACAACGGAATAAGAAATCCTTTCTACTCCTGCTGCTGCTGTAGAACTTGGCCGAATCGGCTAGTCCTTCTGCCATATATTCAGAAAAGAAAGAGGGAAATTCCCTCTACACCTTCAGCGTTACATAGACTACAGATAGATACACAAGATGGCTACCAAAAAAACTATAAGACGGCTACATACATACTGCAACCTCCATACATAGTAAAATTCGACGATTCATGGTAACTTTTCTAATTTCTTTCCCCTCCCGGGGGGGGGTGGGGTGGCCTAGACGATGTGTCCGGATTTTTTTCCGCGGGTACCCTTGGCAATGACTCCATTTTGTCTATCTATCCCGCGATCGATACCTACCTATTCTATGTACTACCCAATGACCTACTACCTCCTACCTGCTGCACGGATACACAGCAGCAGCAGCAGTGGCCGCGGGTGATTGGCGCGCCTACAACCCATACACCGCCGCGGCACAACAAGGCCTAGCACAAACATCTGATGATGTATGTTTGGACCCGCAGTTGTATGATGTGTGTGTCTGTTGTCTGCATCGATCACGCACAACCGACTGACCAATCATCATTGAAAAGACAGACGTCGTCAGTCTCAATGCGGTTGAACAGACAAAACACTTGCGCATATAATCCCTGAACTAGGACCTCGTGGCGGGGCGCGCGTGTGTGTTATTGTTTTTTGTATCAATCGCGCAAACGGCTGACTAATTAACAGATTCAGTCTCAGTGCGGTGTGTGTGTGTTCGTCCCATCTACTCTGTCAGGTCCCGCAAGACTTTTTTTCGTTTTTCTTCTGATTTTCCCACATTTCCCCCTGCGGTGCTTGTGCCTTGCAGTGAGTATCGCTAAAAGCGTTCATTCAGTCGTTCAGCCTCCCTTTCCCTTGTCGACCGTGACGCCAAATAAATATTGTTTTCCGACGAGACCTATCCATTGATGTTCGTTCGCATTTTCAACTACGACAAGACGTTATTGCTGGAAATACATGCTGGGACAAAATCCCTCCCTGGAGAGGATCGAACCCACAACCTACATAGTGCCATGACAAGACACTCTCCTGTTAAGGCGGACGGCCGGCCGGATTTTTCACTTCATTTGGCGTTGTGTCACGCAATAACGGATCCTCATCACTAGCAATTAGCGTGGCCCTAAATTCTGCTGCGTCACGGCCAGCGTGATCGGACATTGCTCGGTAGATGGCGACAGGAGCGAGAGTTCGACAGCCACCAGGACAGTCGGCGGCTTCCCCGTCTTTTCATGGATGCTCTAGAATACGACCGCACACTGCGACATTCGATGCAGCATATATATATATATAAACTCTGTTTTTCACCCGACTTTTTCTTCGCAATGAAATTTGGAGACCACCTTCATGAAGGTAGATACTCCCCAACGTCTGTCGAGGACGATTCCCTCTTTTCACAATGGCGTCGACGTGAGATGTCAGGGTGTCTGCTTGTGGTTGCTACAGACACGGGTCCAAAACCCGCTGGTCTCACCAATTTTTCTTCCGGGCAACGGAAAAAGAAAAATGGTGGGTGGTCCAATGGAGGACGCACTGGCTATCGAACTCGGCACTTTTGATAACGTGGCGGACGTAGCGAATCCGTAAAACACGTACAGGGAATCGTGAAGAATGTAAATCGATCGTCCCGTCGCCAGCCGGTCGGGTTCCGGTTACCCCAAGAAGACTTCTCTTGCCTGGGAAACAAGAAAAAGTCTCGAAAAAAGGGGGGGGTAATGTGGAGACCACCTCCATAAAGGTAGAAACTCCCCAACGTCTGTCGAGGACGATTCCCTCTTTTCACAGAAACGAAAATGAAAATACAAAGGTACACAAAAACTCCTTCAGCATGAGGTGCTGAAATTTACGACGTAGAAGAATGATCTTGAACGGATACTGCACAACCACTATGTATACAGTAGGAACAACCACTAACGAAGGCATTCGTCATGGACTATAATATCGGAGGATGGAGACTACCTGAGTGCTCCAACCGTTTTTGGAAACACAACCCTCCTGCCGAGGAAAAAAGGAGCCAAGGTGCACAGCTCAAAAAAGTGAAAAAACAAACCAAAAGGCAGCACAAAAAAACACAGGAAGAACGGCTGGCTCGCGGCACATGCGCATTACTGTAAATCATTGTGGTGGGTTTTTCCACCCAACCAACCGGAACCCTCCACCCCTACCCCCCTGGTTGTCCCTTTCGAGTACGGCGTCATATTCTCATAGCCTGAGAGTTGGGCAACATGCGTAATTTATGTGCGCAACGCGTCAGGCTGACCTCGAGTTCGACGTCAAATAACCCGAGAAGACAAGTGCCGAGTCCGCAAACGACGGTTGCTACGCGCGTGACGTGGGCCTTAGGACGATTGTCCCACGTACAAAAAAAAAGGGTGTGAAGTAATGAAAGCGAAGCACAGACACACACAGCTCCCAAGCTATTCCCCTGGTTTCCTGAAGCTGTTTCGTTTAAATCAAATCTGAATAGATCGCCGATTGCCACGAGCGTACACCGGGTCACACATGCGTTTGAGAAAGCGCAAACGCACCGAGACGTCAAGGGTTACTGCTCGCCCTACAAAGTCTCTGCGGAAGGATGGCGAGCAAAGGGATAAACTCAAATCATCAAAAATAGGCGAAAGCGCAGCAGAACTATTTCCAAGAGCTTCATGGAACAGCAACCGATAAAATTCTACCCCACAACCCGAGGCAATACATGGATGCCACCCCCGGTACCCGTCCAAATAACACCAGACGAACATTTCTTCGAACACTTAACGTTCACCTGTCAAGACACAGCACAAAACCAATTAATAACGCTGAGAAAACCATCTACCTGGCATATTCAGTAACATGTGGGTCGAAAACACTTTGTTGAGGTAGGTGCTTACTGCTAGGCCGGAGAAATAATATCCCCACCCGCTGGTTTTGGACTTGCGCAATTGGATAGAAACAAAAAAATGAAGCACGATTGAGGTAGTCGTTTAACATGGGAAAGGTAGTCGAGTGTTATGGCATAAGCTGTTTTCAGGTCTCACATGGTGGTGAACGACTCGATCTCGTACAAGTCGAAGGCGAGGTAGCCGCCGCAAATTTCGTTCTGCGTACAGTAACAACGCAAGAAAAACAGTCAGATGAATCAAGACGAGGAGAGGGCATCGAGGCGGGTTAGATTATCAGGGAATTTCCAAGAAACGCATCGGTACCAATTAGGGGGTCGGGTACAGCAGGAACAGTATGGATGTACAGCAAGGGAGTACGTTGGTTACCTCGGCTGGGAAAAGTCTAGGCGTGTTTACAAGAAGACAACCAAGAGCGACACGCGTTCGGCACAAAACTGGAGTATTAAAATCCCTTCGTACATTGTCTCCCCCGCATTTGTAGTCGCACAACTCTTCGGCCTCTCCGTGGCGTTCGTATTCCAAGTCAGGCTCGGTGGCGCACCAGCACTCGATCCCCCACTGGGTAGCCATAAAGGGTGCGTTCTGTTCCAAGCAGTAGTCGTAGCACAACTGAAGAAACAAAAATCGAGGGGAAAACGAATACGGTTGTACGGGTTAACAGACGTACGTACTGTTCAATATTGGTTCAATCCTTCGGCTGAAACAAGTCGTGCACCATTCCGACTGGCGCCAAGCAGATAGCTGGCCGATGCGATGAGGAAAGGGAAAAAAAGAAACGGCGAACGCGACAGAGCACACCAGCGGTACTTGATTAATGTCGTCTTACCTCGGTGTCGACTTCCTCATCGACAAGCTTGTACCCCAACACGCGGTCGCTCCGGTTGTCCACGAAGCATCCCAGGTGGGTGTAGTCCCTGGTTGGTTGGTGCACGCACGTGGAGCAGCGGGAGGGGGGGGTACATCGGACAAACTTTGGATCTACTCCGGGGAATAGTCTATACTAACCCTAACCCTAACCCTACTCCGGGGAAGAGTCTGTAACCTAACCTTCAACGTACAACCAACGGCAGGATATATTCGAAACGTCAACACCAATGTTATTACCCGTTTTGCGCAGAAAAAGAAGGCAATTAGTAACTTCTCTCGGACTACACGCTCTCTACGCAAAATAATTGCTGCACTCAATAGACACTCGAAAAAAGAGGAGGGAATGACACCAACATCCACATGTTCTGTCGAGGGATCGATCGGCTATTTATGAATTGCAGAATGCAGAAGCAAAGAAGGTTCCAGTCAGTATGAGCCCACAAACTAACGGAAGAGTGTGTGTGCATATGAGCAAACTCACGACACACGAGACCGAGCGTGCTAGACAATCCATCCCTGGTAGTGGCTAGACAAAAATGGGTACAGTACCGTCATCGAAATACCGAACCAACTCACCGGTTGGAATCAGTAGCAAGGAAAGCGCTATCAAGGGAGCGAAGGTGGCGAGATTGGACGCCGGTCTGGTAGGACGCCAGAAGGCAAGCGGCGGCGATGACCGCAGGGGTGGAGTTGAACCTCATTCCAGCCATTGCTTCGTTGTAAGTAGAATATGCTGTTCCTGAAGGTGCAAGAAGGAGGTCGGCGAGAGGGCAGGAGCAACAGCGGTTTTGCGTCATGTTCACTTCGTACGTCTGTCTCGGCATGCCGCGTGTTCCATAAACGAGAGTGCGTTGACTACTGCTGCGCATGGTTGTGTTTGTGTTGCAAGCGGCTACCCCCGGGCACGTGCGAGAGGAAAGGAAAGTCTGTGATGCCTGTCGTCAGAAAAGTGGACACAACTCGCTTCCCCAACGACGCTTTGCGTTTGTGGGTGTAACGGTAGAATATGTGCATGCACGCGTTGTAGGCACACGCTGCCACCTCTCCACGGCTATTGCAATCATCATCAAAGCTTGGAAGGAGCGACCGCGCTATGATCCAAGCTGGGATAAAGAGATACGTACATGTAGATAGGGAGCACGCTTGGCAAGTGGGCGAATTGTTGTAGGAAGCTCCGCAGATTGTAACCGTATGGTTGAAGTTATCCCCGTTTCCCCGAAGTTCCCAAGGTATTTATTTGGATTATTCTGGTTTTCAGAAGCCGCTTGGCATAGATAGCCTCGACAAGGGTTTAGGTGAGCGTGAGTGCCGTCCCCATAGCGTTGTGTTGAGTGTGACGCCTGAGCATAGCATTGGACAGCCTCGTGAGATTGGATAGATAAGCGGTTGAGTTACAGTAGGTGTTCTTGCTGATCAGGAATTCACCTTATAGGCTGACTAAAAGAGACCACATTCGACTCTATCTACCTCTTGTGCACAACAGAGACCCGTGACTGCATCACGAGCATCGACAGCGTTGACCAAACATCCCTTGGGCCCGACGTACTAACAGAACCACCCTTGCTAGTAGAACCACACCTCACTTGTGATTGGTTCGCAGTGCTCCACGTCAGAACACAAACCCAGTTAAAAGTTAAAAGCTTATATCACAGAATGGCAGAATGGATACAGAAAAAAATTCCGAACGCGTGTCGGAACCAAAACTAATCTGGAAAACTCGACAGCCCGGTTGCGGCTGACGTATTCTGTATCCAAGGCAACACCAACGGTGGTGCTGCTGGAATAACACGGTAGACGACGAGCAACTGATTGTGGAGGGAAGATGCAGTAGGATGGCAGATGCAAAGGACGTGTGTGTGTGTGTGTGCCGTGACGGCGGGATGGATCTGCTTGCATCGGTGTTCGGCGAGAGGTGCTGGAGGCACGACGGGAGAGAGGACGAACTTTGCGAGAGGGAACAGTTGTGACAACCGACAACAGCAGCAGCAGCAGTGTCACGACGTGCAAACCGGTGCCAGGAACATTGAGCAGTTTTGACAACCGACAACAGCAGCAGCAGCAGTGTTACTACGTGCAAACCGGTGTTCCCAGGGAGAGACGACGGAACGCATGAGAATGCAGAGACTACAGCGTATAACAGAGACCGCATGTATCTCTAGCAGCGCGTGGTGACCTGCATGCCGACATGATGGATGGTTGATACTGCTGCTGTATGCACCCGTCAATGACGCACCGCACAAGTGAAGAATTAAATACAAAAATCTGTGTCTCGTGGCTGACAGCTCTGCCGCGGGCACACACGCGGCGCACAGCGCACACGACCGGCACACTGCTGGGGCTGCAGCAGTGCACACCACTGAGATGCGAATAAGCATAAACAACTGCCACGGTCGCGGATTGTGCACGATCTTCCAGTACTATCCTTTTGCGTATTTTGGCGGTCCAAAACCCACCCACCTCAAAATCAGAATGGAGGAACAGGCGTGAGACGTGCAACTCAAAAGGATATCACAGCACTGCTGAAGATGTACATTACTACGCTGCTGCCACATAGCCTACTTGTGAGCGTGCGCGAGACTGACCTGTTGCTGAAGCGAGGGCGTCGATGCTGATGGAGTGGTAGAAGAAGCTGAGTGAGTGGTGTGTGGTGTTGTGGTGTGTGGAGGGTGGGTGAGAGGAGGAGGCGGAAGGGCTGGCAAGCTGAGCAACCAACGTAGTTGAGGACCGCTAATAACAGCTGTTGAGCCAAGTATTTCGTAGTTTTACCGAACAGAAGCCAGATTTCCCTGGATTCCAGATTTCCCTGGATTCCAGATTTCGCTGAGAAATCGCCACAAAAAATAATTATTCCGATCGGAACGGAGATTTTTCATCCATCCGTAATAATATTTTTAATGTGAAGACAACAACAACAACAACAACAACAACAATAAGGGTCGGTCTTAACGAAGAAATCAGATCTCGAAATCACATTCACATTTGGTTATAAGACCGGAAGATCCACAGAACTCTTTCGTTGAATGGCTGAAATGTTATGGAACCCGTCGAATCTTCAGGACTTATAACAGGACGACCCAAAACCAAGTCGGGATTAAAAAAAAGGTGAAATCATAACCCTCCGTCAAGGCCAGTGACAGTTCTGTCGATAGATGCGGCGGAACACGGACGGCGCGGTAGATTTTGTACTATTGTACGGCAGCAGAGCATGCCATACCTCCATCACCATCTGCATGGTGCCTGGCGCCTGATGCTATGGCGCCTGTACATCGTCCATAGCAGTTGTTGGTTCTGTCTGTCGGTGCCGCTGGTGACTCGCAAAAAATCTCTACATACAGTATCATCGTTGTCGGCGATGAGTTTTTTTTGGTGGATGAGCGACACGGACGAGTGCGATTCCGATTCCGACGGGTTGATGGCTCTGCTCGGATACCCATGACAACATGGTTGACACAAAAAATGCCTGAAAAGCGTCAAAGCGTCCGTTGCGAATGATGTTGTAGTGGTATGCACGCGTGATGAAGTCTGGTTGACCCGTGAAGAAGAACTCACTTGTTGTTACTCTTGTAGAACAGCAGCAGCAGTAGTAGCTGTTGCCTTGGGTATCGGTAGGAATGACACCAAGGGGCACAGGATCCTCTGCACAAGCAGGGGCTACTAGATCATGTCCCCTACTTTTTATCCTTCCGCGGAGAGTTACATCTCTCCGCGCCTTCTAGAAGGAACCAAGCTCTTCTATGTTCCGTCTACACATCTGAATCCTATAACACTAGCCCACCCTGGAGGTTCTCATACGCAGATACTGTAAAACCTCGAGTCTTGACAAGCAATTGTCGAGTCTCTAAATGAAAGTATCGAGGATGTGGAGCTCCAAAACAGCACAATTCACCCTCCCACACCTCTCACTCGATGAGTCGCAAGACCATCGTTTGACTTCTAAAACGACAAAAAGACACAGACAGGAAGGAACTGACGGGGCTAAGAAAAGCCTACGACGACCGGAAGAAGATCGGAACCAAAGAAAGGAAGACACAAAAAAAGGAAGAAAAACAGAAAAGAAAAACAGAAAAGAAAAACAAAGGTCGTCAAAACGACAAAAAGAAAGGGTCACTGCAGGAACCACAACAAGACCGGTATCGTAAGAAAACGACAAGATACGCCATTCACGCAGTCGCCACGGCAGTGTAGAAGGGGCATCAATGGGCGCGAAACACCTACAGGTCGTGACCAAACGCTAAAGGCACAAAATAAAGCGCGGAGAAAGCGAAATCAACCAAGGCTAAAAAAGAACAACCCAAACAACGCTGAAAACAACAGAAAGCCAAGACAACTAGCACGTCGTCTTAATGTGGGCGCGCAACGTTATCAGGCAACGAATCCGTCCCGGGGTCACCACGCGACATGTCGACGTTGCGAAGGATCCCCTTAAAAAGGGCACTGCCGCTGTGAACTTGGAGGCACCAGGATCCGGAGACGGCGGTTTCAGCGGTGGAGTAGCGAACATCAGGAAGGGCGAGCTTGACAGGGCCAGGATCGTCCAAGAAGCGGACGACGTAGAAGTCGGACGGTAGAGGTGGTCCAGTAATCTTGCCCAACCACCAGAATCCATCGCGAGCTTTGTACCAGAAGAAGGCGCCTGCAGGTAGCGGAGTATTGGCGAAGCGACGGTCCCAAGTTGAACGAGAGACGAGCGAATAACCCGAAGGCAAAGCTCGCTCCCCTTTAGCGCGCGCCATCTCGCGGGTGGCCGCACCAATACGCATCGCCCGATAGCGACGATTCGTTTGGCGATGTTGATCAGGCGAACCCGTCCAGTACCGGAGAATGTGGGGCTTGGAATGCTGGAGGTCCATCTCACGTTCCCAAGAAGGACGAAGAAGACCTTTCCAATGCGTTTGGTATAAAACAGCGATGGTGCCACCACGGCCACGAACAGACTGATGGCCACTAATGCGGTCAACCTCGAGACGTTCGACCGGAGTCGACACGTCGTCTTCCGTAACATGGTAGGGAGGAGATTTATTCGCATAGGAGTTTAGCACATACGGTGTAAGGCCGGCAGGCAGGAACCGAGGCAAGTCTTCAGTGTCATGCGGATTAGCGCAAGGTTTGCAACGCGCAACTGACACACGGTTTTTCGAGTCCGGACCCGGCAGATCCGATGGAAGGTCAAAATACAGTAATTTGGAAGCCAGAGGACAACCGTCGGGAGCGTCAGGACACGGACCCACGGCCAAGATCTTGAACGGACCAGTCCACAGGAAGGACAACTTAGCCTTGAGGACCTTGTCATCCGTGCCTGAACGAACACCTTGGCGAATGGTAGATTCGGTGTTGTACACCCAAACCCATCCACCGACGGTGTATGAGGGGACCTTGCGCAAAGCATCCGATAGGGCGGAGTTACGCCGCTCAATCCTCGAAACGGACAGGTTGTGCTGTTCGCGAACTAAATCGTAAGAACGACGTTGGCGATCAGCAGCCAGATCGCAATACTCAAGTTGATCGCGATGCAAGCTTTGGTGGCCTCGAGCATATGGATGCTCAAAAACCGTCATCGGCATGCGTGGCAGTCGGTTCATATGCACCTCGTTGGGCGCCAAACCAGTAGCGGCACTAACCGAATTGTTGTAGGCAAACTCAACGTGCGGCAAATGAATGTCCCAATCATCTTGCCTCTCATTGACGACCATAGCCAACATCTGAGCCATAGTGTGATTTACGCGCTCCACACCCCCATTGCCGTTGGGATGGTAAGAGCTGGTAGCCACTTTGCGTATAGCCAGACGGGCGTATACAGCCTGCGACAGTTTAGAACAAAACTGAGAGCCATTATCAGACAAGAGACTCAAAGGGCAACCCCATAAAAGGGATATACCGATTGACAAGTACGTCAGCGGTGCCTTCGGCGGTGAATTCTGCAGCCGTAACCGCGTACATGTCAGCACGGCGGCTGAAACGGTCAGTGAAAAGCAGAATATATGTGTTTCCGCGCGGTGTCAACGGGAGGGGACCGAAATAATCGACGCTCACCGATACACCAGGGCCCGAAGGCAGCGGAAGGCACAAAGTAGGCCATCGAGGCGTTTGACGAGATGACTTGCGAGCTTGGCATCGCAAACAATGCCGTACCCACCACTTCGTGCAAACACTCATGCCAACCCACCAATAAAAACGTTCCAGCATGCTAAGCGTGCGAGCGGCACCGAGGTGGCAGGATGCATCAGCGTGACAGGCTTGCATGATCCACGGACGCATGAGCATGGGAACATAAATCCGAATGGGTTCGTCGTTGAGAAGGCGAGCAGCACGCCCGCCAGGACGTGTGGTCGTAGACGACGGGGGCGCTGTTTGCTTGCGAACAAGCAAGACCAAACCATCATCGTCAACATGTAACCGGCCTTTGTTAGACAGGTCACGAATCTCCGACAGAGGGGGTCGACGAGCGGACGGAAGATGATCCAGGAAATCCGGAGGGAGAGCCGAAGGCCGACCCAGAAGGATGAAACGAATAGCTGCATCACAAACAGGTTCGTTACGTTGCTCGCGAGCCCAATCAGCATGCGAGAAACGTTCGACAGACGCCCGGAAGGCTAAATCTGCAGAGGAATGTAAAGCCGCCTCGATAGAAGAGGGGGCCGATTCCTGAGGCTCCGGCTGCAATCCACCCGAAGGCAGAGTAGCAGCGGAAACCGAAGACGAAGGCGTATAAGTGGTCGAAACCAAATGCGTCGAAGATTCCGAAGAATCGGGAGCAGCAGAAGACTGCTGGGCAGGAGCAACCGAAGTCGCAGGATGCGTCGAAGACGCAAGATCCCTTCCACGAGCCAGAGGCGTGGGAGGTCTGGGATCGAAGTGTCAGCACCAGGAGCCGAAACCAACCTGGTCAAAACGGGGGGCGCCGTCGATGCTGATTGTGCAGGCGGGGAACGTCGAAACGATCTGGGCGAAGCGGAAATCCGAGTAGGAGCAGGCGGGTCCTCAGAGAAACCATAATCCACGGGCGGGAGGGGCGTGCCTGCCACAACCGCCGTGCGACGGCGAGTTCGCGTGGAAATTAGTTGAGTAGGGTCGAGAGTCCGTCGTGATGCTGCAGTCGGCGAGACGGCCGGCGAAGACTCGGGCTCGAGAGCCAAAATGTCCTCCACCGAAGAATGTAAGGAGCCAGACCAATCGAGGGTCCTGCCACACAGGCGTCGTAGCGAAGGAGACAACCCGCGGGAGTTGTTAGACGGCCAGGGTGCGATGTTCCAGACGCCAGGCGGAGACGAAAGGCCTGACGGCGAGAGACGTGGACCATGCCGACGGAAGTCGACAAAATCATCTGTAGAGGGGGCCAGCCCACCCAAGACCGAAGTCGGGGAAGTCGGGACGAGCCCACCCAAGCCAACACCCACGGCGCGATGGCCAGAAGGCGTAAGGCCACAAGAACGGATGAAGAATACGCTCTCCTCATCGTCATCCGGTGTCAAGCGACTGCGACCAGATCGGTCACATTCCGCCGCATCGATCGGAAGGCGAGAGAGGAAATCAGCGTTGTCATTTGCTGAACCCTTGCGGTACTCGAGAGTGTAATTGTAGGCGGTAAGAAATTCAAGCCAACGCTGAACGCGGGCATTGTTCTCCCCCACC